GATGAGAGATAAAAATGGTGACAAAGATGAAGATGATAATGAAGGAAGAAAACATAGATACCCTTTGCGCAGCATTCAAAAAATCGCAACCCTCTGATTTTGCAGTGTATTTTGCGGTATATTTTTTAGGGTGTATCTAAATGTGGTAATTTTAAGTACAAGTGAAGAAGAAAGAGAATTTTATATTTTGAAAGTAGTTCGTGTTTAAAAAAAAAAATTAAAATCACATAAAAAGTTTGGTGTTTTCAGTTACTTTGTAATATGAGATTATAATTTTATAAACTACCATTTTAGGTAGTGGATGCTATTAAGGGGAGGATAAACCTTTATAATGGTACTTCATATTGTTATTTTCCCACGTGTGTGTGACAGTTTAATGTTTTTCAGTTAAGTTTTTAAATTCCTGTGGTAAGCCTAATGTTAAGGATAATTTGGGACAAATTATGACAATGTCCGCGTGTGTGTGACATTCGGATTTTGTATTTTTTATAACCCTGTTATGGAGGGCTAAATATTTCATTTTACAGTTTTCTATAGGCTAATCAAACCCTGCTGGGAGCTTAACTTTCATTCACACTTCACATGTTTTCTTCAGTATTAGCCTCAACTTTCAAACAGCCAGGACCTGGTAAGAATATTTCATCATTTTATCCACCTTTTTGTCCTTTTTGAATATTTCAATATTATATTTGTCATTTCTACTTTATTCCACATAACTTTAGCTTCAACCTAGTGTAAATACTATTTTTGTATTTTGAATACTTTTTGAGATATTTACTTGAGTATTTCTATTTGCACCGTCATGACAGTTTTGGCATTTGTGCATAGAATTCATAAAGTTACATTCTTTGTCAATAAACAGATAGTATCCCTACATTGTTATTTGTGACAACTATTTGGTAATATGACTTATCTTGCCATACTTATTTTATAGCCACGGGTCTACCAGTGGGCTTTCTAGTGCTAATACTCACCACCCTGTTGAGATATATTTAGGTACTTTTATATTTTTATTATTGTAAACCTTCACGGTGATGTTCTATTTAATCCATTTAATTTCATTATATTTGATATGGTAACTATAATCTATAAAGTGTATCAAGCACTGTGTTAGGGTTTATTTTGGAAACATAACAAGGGCCCTTTTTAATTCCACAGCCCTTTCACTAACTGGTTTTATCGTAAAACTGTAGATTATTACATTGTATTGAATGCCTTATGTATATGGTGTACGTGTACCTTAATATATTTCTTTACATTTTAGGGTCAAGTGTGGGTGCCCTAGCGGGTGGCCTGGTCATTTAGGCAGATAGATTTTGGTCATTTAGGCAGATAGATTTTGGTCATTTAGACAGATAGATTTTTAAGCTAGATAGTATTCAATTTAAGCTCGATATTCATTTTGAGCTAGATAGTCATTCACTTTAAGTTAGCTATTCACTTTAAGTTAGCTATTCACTTTAAGCTAACTATTCACTTTAAGCTAGCTATTCACTTTAAGCTAGATTGTCACTTTAAACCAGATATTTTTATTCCATTTGCATATATTTTGAAATAAATCAGTGTTTTATAGTTTTACATCATTTTTCGTGTTCCCATGTGTTGTCCCTCGCCCCATGGTTACATAACCATGACACATCAAGAAGGAATTAGATTTTCTCAAATGTGACGTCACATAAAATAACCTTTATTCTACTGTGATGTCATCAACGATTAAATAGGGATTATTAAAACTTTAGTGATGTCACACCACAAATAATGCAATAGTTGCTATTAGGTTTTATGTTAAACAAGACATATAACGTCATAGTACACAATAAGAATTACCTGGTGATAGAAATATTGTTTCTATGGTAAACACAAACAAAGCAATTGCAATACAAAACTAATAAGGAAATTCTTGAAAGTTGGTCTGCAAAGACATAAATTACACAAATATTTGAAGATGGAAAAACAACCAACTAGATGTCATAGGGTTAGAAGTGCCATGAGCAAGATTGATATTTGGAATCCAATGAAACAAGAAAGCTATGGAGGCGAAGCAATTGCATTGTTCCATTCAGTGATGTTGAAGATGAAGAGAAAGTGGGGGAGGTCACAATGGTGATAGACCTGAATGAGATACACGTATATGAATGGCCAGAGATAGACTTTTCAAAATTTGGCAAAAATGGCTTTTACACAAAGGCTGACTGCACAATGGAAACTATCCTAAGGATGTCTCCTCTTTATGATCCAAAGTTTTCACAATCTCAACAGGAAAAAGACAAGCGTTCCCTTCTTCAAAGAGCCCTGCATAGAATGGAAAAGAGAGTAAGTATCAATGAGTATATGTTGCAAGTTGAAGAATATTCCTAAAACTACTAAAAACGTATCAATAAATTGTAAACAGAACATATCTTTCCAATTTGCTGAAAAATATGAAGGTAGAAATGATAAAACAATATTAATCATAAAATCGTTCACAGTTAAACAGTGTTAAATGGATCAAGGTTTTCCCACAAAATCCTTATGACCAGAAGCCGAAAAAAAGTTGAAAGTGACATTTAATCAAGTGAAAATGACACTAGAAAAATACGAGGGCCATAAGCATTGACAAAACTGATCCACTTTTTATGAAAATACCACAGAGAAAGACAATGAACAAACTACATGTAACTGCTTGTTTTCTGTTGGTTAGGTAACATATTAATGACGTCACAAATTAAAATATAATAAACACTGTGATGTGTGCCGTTTAGCTTTCTTGTCTGTTTAGTTGATAGGACAATAAGTAACTGACGTCATAGTTTATGTTATATTACGTCATATCTTCATCACAAACACAACATATGACGTCGTGATCGTTGCTTTGATGATTTGCCATATAAGGTAATAATGGCGCACTTTTGGTCACGTGAATGGTCGACAGTCGGTCCCAAGGAGGATTGGCTCCCAGAGTGCACCACCGATATTCTGTCCCATATATGGGTATGTCGTAATACAAAATTCGAATTCAAACAGCCGCCATTTTGTTCACTTCAACATTTAAATCGTGAATTTTGGTCTTATTTCCAAACGAAAAATTCCAAAACTCACAAGAAACGATCGAGATATTGGTTCGAATCTTTTGAACTGTTTATTTTGAATTTATAGTCGGTTTTAATTTCAGAAAATAACGACATTTCGACGTTTTCATTGTTGGAAAATATCGAGTTTCGATCCTGGGAGCCAATCCTCCTTGGTCGGTCCATAGAACGAAAGGCTCCGCCAACTTCGTGGGGGGGGGCCTTCGTAAAAAAAGAATTTTACTTCCAGGCAAGGGAGGCCAAATATGCCGTTTCTGCTGCATTGACAAAGAAATCAGAGAAGTTGGACAACCAAGACAAAGATTCCCAGCAGAAAACAAAGGATGACTCAGGTTTTACCTCATTTTAAACACAACTGAATTATCGAGAGCTGATGTGACCGAGTTTTCCGGATTTTGCAGAGAATATGTGCCTTGCATCAACCTTGGTACTGTACTATGGACCTATGTAGTACTATCAATGGGCGATGCTAGAGACCTTTACTAAACAGCCAATGAGTTCCTCTTTGAATATTCCTTAATATGTATTTTGCTCAAGTGTTCTTGTATGTATTGTAAATAATAAATTGTAAATACAGTATGTTTTAATATACACCAAAAGTTGTAATCTTATATGAGTTCCCGAACTGACAAAACTGTATCTCCATGACAACATTGTATCGATCACCCACACTGAGAAAACATAAAAATAACGTTTCGGATGGAACGCTAACTAGAAAAATAACTCCATGGAATATATGATTATTCAAAGTATTCGTAGGAAAGAAAGTGACCAAAGTAAGCAATATTCCAAAAATGGTTCCCAAAATGTTAGAAGGTTTTCACACAGCTAAGGACCCAAATGCCGCTGAAAGTAGACTCTGTATAACGCAATAATGTACCAACAGAAAGGCATTTCGTTATGCTTTGAATGGAACAAGTTTGAAGAAAAATAGTGCAGTATGAGACTCGCAATCCTTGATTTTCAAACATCTTGTATTAAGTCAAAAATTCAAATTAACGGTCGAAGTTAGTACCTGTGACATAGGGAAATAGAGACGGACGACAATGCTTTATAGTAAGATTATAGTAAAAAGAAGAAACGGCCTGTTTTGCACTGACTTCGAAATCAACGTTTTTGTATGTATTACATTACAATATTGAATCCTTGACTCTAGTGCTAATAAATGTCAAATGAGATATCAAACCAAGAGTGCACTGTCAAGTATATTAAGCACATAACCCTGGAAAATTTTGAAAACGTTTGATTTAATAAAAACAGATCTGTAACTTGCAACAGTATTGATATAAATATACATTTCTGAAAATATCAAAGCGACATAAAAGGCCATGTATTAAGCAAGGTAGTCAGTAGCCTTGCCCAAGTCGCTCTCTTTTACTATCTGATTTCTAATTATGGTAATAATTCACGATCAGATAAGTAAAAAATACCGACTTGGGCAAGGCTAGGTAGTCAGTATCAAGTTAGATTTTACATTTTTCATCTTACAATATCAACTGTTGAACTGACAAGACAACGACAGAAGTGAATAAATACTTTAAAATAGATTTGTACTTCAATGTCATACTCAAATCATCACGTTGTATATCAAATGAAAGAGCTTCAAAACATGATGAATGACTGGTCGTCCCAGACTTACATGATGCAATGATCTCCCTAACTTATTACATGGTGTTTAACCCTTTTACCTGATTTAGTCATACTTTTGGCATGGTGCGAACATATTTTCAACAATGTGGCATAAAAGCTTTGAATTTTGAACAGGGTGGGTGCAAACATATTTTCAACAATGTGGCATAAAAACCTTGAATTTTGAAGAAGGTGCAAACATATTTTCAACAATGTGGCAAAAAAGTTTTGAATTTTGAACAGGGTGCAAACAGATTTTCAAAAGAGTGGCTTTAAACAGATTTCGAACAACAAGTATTGATATAATAGTCTTTTTTATTTCATTTATACTTAAACTATACATTTAATTCTTAATAAATGCAACTTCATCCATTTAAAAAACTAAAAATTCACCATTAAATAAAGCATGTATTTCAGCATACAATATGGCTTGTACATGTACTTCATACTATAGTAACAGTAAGTGACATTATTTTAAGTTTCTTCATTGTTCATTCTGAACCTGATCAAGGATGTGCTTATGGCAGGGGAGTAAAGAGATGTTATGGACACCCTGTATGTGTTTCTCATGTTGCAGATCACAAATTCTGTAATTCTCTATGACATTGTATGACTACGTTCCTTTCCCAACAGTACACGCTTCAAACTTGAAAGTAATTCACACATGTATAGAAATTATTAATTTCAAATTGCCTCCTATTACTTGTATATAACGATACATTGCGCCATCTGACACAACCGTAGTTGGGTACTGCATCTGAATTCCTATCAAACCTCATACCCTTGAGCTATGCCTGGGACAATGCCCTCTTTGTTATCAATTAATTCTCAACTTCATATGTATTTCACTCAAAGATCACCTCTTGCCTCCCTTTTTACCCCCCTTCGCCGCTCTTTGCCTCCCACCCTTTGATTTCTGTTTCTTTCCACTTGAATTTTTCTCTCTCATATTGTCTTTTTTCATTCTCGGGTCAACAACTTTGAACTGTCCTCTGACACCAGCTGGTCTCGAGACCTTCTTCCCAGTTCCTCGCTTAGCAACAACATATGTGAGGTCCTTCTTCTTGTTCTTTAAAAGTCCCGCTTTTTTGTAGATCCTGAAAATAAATAATTTGTTGTTCACATTTTAACCCTAATGGATTAGATTATGCAGCATTTATATGGGGTATCGCTGTTCGTGAATGAAAAGTCAAATAGCGTTTCGAGCCCTGCTCTGGCAAGAATTCTTTGAAAATCATGCTGATTTAAACCATTCTAATTTTGGGCTAAAGTTGTCAAGTGGAAGTTTTTGGGAACCCCCTTGGGAAAAGCAAGCCATGGGCCAGGGGTCTATTTCTCCAAACTCCGTAAAATTACGGATCCGTAAGTCTATTGTTCTTTCTCAAACTTACGGAGAGATTGCATTTCTCGAAAAATTTTGTGGGATTTCCGTAAGTTTACGGTATTCATGACGTCATAGCCTTCTTTTCCCGTAGCTTTATAGGCACCCCAGACCCTGTCCATAACTATTTACGGATGAATTTCCATTCTATTGCATAAAGATTACTATGGTTACCTGCATCAGTCCCACTTACCTGCTATACCAAAATGGCAAATAATTGTAGTATCAATCCTGGAACTTCTTTTAATATAATTTATGAATTTCATTTGGAATCATTGCATTATACAGTATTTTGGGCATTTGAATGCACAATGACGTCATATCTCCGTAACTTTGCGGACTTAGATACGATTACGATACGGAGTTTGGAGAAATGCAATTTGAAACTCCGCATCTTTCTCGTAACTTTTTAAATTTTACGGAAACCGTAACTCTACCGGTCCGTAACTTTATGGAGTTTGGAGCAGACCCCAGACTGACAACAGACTAAAATATTATATACACCAGTCTGTTTCTTGACTACACTGATTTCAAAGATCAATCTACTCACGCTTTGATTTGACTCCATTTTTCTTTATCACTGACATCTTGCGTCTCCGAGACAGTTTCAGCTTTTTTACGTGCCCTCTCTAATCTACGCACTTCCTGAAAATATAAAGCATAATGAGATCAACAAACAGTTTAATAGATTCGAATAGCCTTTTAAGCTCACTATGATATTTCTAATTCTGTGATTAGTTGAATGTTGCTCACATTACAGAATGATTATGCTGAATGTCATACATGTACTTATATGTAATGTAAAAACAAACTTTTCTGCCATTTTGTAAATGTAACAGAAACTACATAAGAATAGCAGCCTAAAATGAAAACAATTACCCAAATGCGAGTAGGTAGTTACCAGTTTCACCACCAGGTGGCTGATTCGGGTCAATTAACATGGCACGTATATAAGAAAGTTCCCTTAAACCTGAATATTATCAATTTAAGCGGCTCAATTTTCTTATAACCCTTATGTGCCTGATACTTATACTAATGAAAATATGTCCAGTAAAGCAAAATATTATCTGACCACTAAAAGAAAATTTATTTCATTTTTTGTGATTTTATAGCATGGGGTCTATGGGGAATCTCCCCGAGCTAGAAGTCACATTTTCAAAGAAAATTAATTTTTCAAAGTTGATAAACACTTTTTAAAACCACATTTCTAGATGTAATTTTACATGTAGATTTCAAATATGATATTACTTTGACTGAATTTTGAATTTTTAATGACGTAAATTAAGATTATTTCTACTCGCATCTGGGTTATTGCAACACCAGGGTTAGTTGATCCCATCCTGCACTTTGTCAAGTGCAGATATTTCAATGGGACCAATTTTCAATAAGTGAACTAGTAAATTCAATTATCCTACTATAGTTACCCATTATAAATGAAACAAGCAATCTAGTACAACAAACCTTCATTTTCTTCCTGCCTTTGGCTTCCGCTACTTTCTTTATTGGTCTTGCATCAATGGCTTTCATACGTTCCTTATAGGCTTGGACTTGTTCTTTAGTGACGGGGAGATGGCGTTTACGGTGTTTCTTCTCGTCATTCATGAACCAATCGGGTAAATTTTCATCATCAAAGGTATACCTGCAAAGGAAACAAAAAAAAGTTTTTTGATAATTACAGTTATAACATTTATACTATATTTCATGAAAAGCCCACTATTAGAATTAATCATATGAACATTGAAACCTTACAGAACACTGGTTTTGAAATCGTACACAAACATTCAAGGAAATCAATATTTTCTCATAAATCAGTGTAGCAAACATACATGTCTATTCCAGATCACTTTAAGGCAAAATAAATGATGAAAAACAAATTCAAACTGGGTGTGTGTATTTTTCTTTAAATCACAATTGCATTTTGTATTTTTATACATATACTGTAAAACGGGTTATTTTGACACCGGGTAATTTTAGCGATTTTTCAATTTTAGGGGGTTTTAGCGCAGGAAATTTTAGCGAAATGAAGATTAATCTTTAAAAAATCAAATTAGCGAAATGCATTAGAAATTTTATCATTTATAGCAGAATAATGAATAACGGACATGACAGAGGAGTTATCAAAATGTACAGACTTCTAACGCACATGGTATTGGTCCAAACTACTGTAATCTCATCTGACTAATCACAAAATCACGGTAGCAACATACGATTTAAAAATATTTACCTTTTTCAAATTACAAACCGGAAGTCGAGCACTGAACGAAAATCTCCTTAAATACTAGTTTTCATGCAGTTTCCCGGGAATTTGCAAATTTTAGCGCCCGGTTTATTTTAGCGAATTGAATTTTTAGCAAAACTATAGCGATCGCTAACAATCGCTAACAATTACCCCTCGCTAAGAATACCCGTTTTACAGTATATTATATATATATATTAATTCACCTGTTGAATGAGTCTTCAATTATCTCTCTCCGTCTTTTCTTGGATTTCACCATCTCTTCTCCAAGGGCCAGTTCTGTAGGGTCTAATACCTCTGTAATGAAAAGGCACTCATGTCAGTAGAGTTAAAAGGCACTCATATCAGTACAGATAAAATTAGAGATATGAGGGCAAATTAGATTTAAGGCCCTTTGACTCCCATTGCATTGAATAAAGTCGAAAAAGGATGATTTGACTTGTTCAATTTTACTAATTCTATTCACATGGGCACAATTTGTTGAAATTCAGTCATAAGCTTTGACATTTTTCATTTTTCTTAACATAGGTAAAGTACATTTTATATGCTACTAACGTTTTGGCACAATTTCAAATCCATCTTTATTTTTTCTTTTCTTTCCAGTTGCCGATCCACCATTTTGACTTGCAGTGTTCATCCTGGCATCGATGCCATAATTCTCCTCATCAGAATCAGATGAAGAACTGTCAGAGTCTGAATCCTCATCATTTTCTTGTTCACTTTCGTGTCCCGAGTCAACTTCAGAATTATTTTCTATAATTGGTTCAGGTTTAGAGCCCTCGTCAGTTTTATTTTTCTTTTGTTTTTTCTTTTTCGATTTTTCTATTTTCTTTTCTTCTTGTCCTGAAAATAAATTGAACTGACCAATCAAACAGCAGATACCCAGACTAACTGTTTGACATTATCACATCTACCTTTGACTGGTTGAACAACATTTAAAAATATTTTAAACACTATCTTTACTTGACACCCTGTAAAAATTTAGTTTCACAAATTTTACTACTATTCCCTAGTATTGTCTAACATTGGTCTTTAAGATTTAGTTTCGTTGATATTAAATGAATTGGGCTATAACATGAATAAGTGCCTCCTAATTACCTATTATAACTCCTCCTTTCTTTTTATGGACTTCAACTGCTCTCTCAATCTCAACATCCTCATCTTCATCAAGATCAAGGTCTTTAAACACATCCTTAAAGGCCACATGTAAAGTTTGAAAATATGTTTATATCATTTACTATTGTTTATGATGTTATTTTTGAGATTTTTGAATTTTTTTTTGAAAATTGTCAGCTTTTTATCTAAATATACAAATATTAAATACATATTATTCACTTCATTGTCATGTCATAATCTTAGGCTTTGAAGACAATTTTACCTTTATAGTTTACTGATTTCTATAATTACACCAGGACATGTCTGTCCAAATATGATTAAAAGAGAGATTTAAGGCCAGGGTGCATGTTGGGAAATTTTCTGCATTCCTCAATTGAGTCACATGTTATTTTTCAAACAAGAATTACTCCTTCCCCACATTGTCTACATCTTCCAGGTTTGCACAAAGAGTGCACTTATGTGCCTAGAAAAGACTTGTGAGAAGATTTGTTTTGTAAAATGTATAAAAAACGAGAAAATTCAGTGAAAATAATTTCTGAAAAATTTTCTGAATTTTTTCACTGAATTTTCTTGTTTTTTATACACTTTATCAAAACATTCTTCTCACAAGTCTTTTCTAGGCACATAAGTGCACTCTTTGTGCAAAAGTGGAAGATCTCCTATAGACAATGTGGGGAAGGAGTTATTCTTGTTTGAAAAATAACATGTGACTCAATTGAGGGATAAATTTCAACTTAAGTTTTTCCTCTCACCTTGCTATACCATAAGTCCATTTTATTTTTCATCCTAGAATCTTTATTTTCAAGGTCAACCAGCAAAGGGTTGGCTGTTCCATGTTCCTCCTCATGGGCGGTTCCATCTTCCTCCTCATCACTGGCATCATCATCATCACTTTCAAATTCAAGTTCAGCCTCTTCTCCCATGTAATCATTATCTTCATGTCGGTTGTAAGGAATCATCTTTTTCTTGTTTGTTTCAATGTCACTTTCATCACTTGCGTCACTCTCATAGTCAACACCTATGTCTCCATCTTCAATATCTCCCAAACCCTGCCAATATTGAATAATAATTAAATTGTCATTCCCCAAATTCTTAAAGAATAATCATGTGTGTGATTATGATTCTTGGTTGAGGTTGAAGCCTTTTTGGGTCTGTTTTGTCATTGATTATGCATACAAAATATGCATACAAAATATGAACAAAATCGCTCCATAACTTTTCGAGTTAAAATGGCCGCCTTCAACCAAAAGTGTCATTTGACAGTGTGCCATGCTTATAGTATTCACATACCAAATATGAACAAAATCACTCCACTACTTTTCGTGTTACAGCAAAAATCGAAAATAACAAGTAAAGGCCACCATTTTTCAAGATGGCTGCCACTTCTTTAATATCTAAAATGGCCGCCATTTTGAAAATCGCCTTTCGAGAAGAACTTCTACCCAACAGGGTATACAGTATGTATATATGTATATGAACAAAATCGGGCCAACAGTATTTGAGTTATTGCCCGGACGGATGTACTTACGGACGGACAGACGGATGGACAGACGGATGGATGGAGGCGTTCCCTATATCCTTCCGTACTTCGTTCGATGGGATAATGAGTCTATGATTTTGGTTGGTTTTAAGATTCAAACTCACCTTTTTTCCTTTAACCTTATCTAGGTCAAACAATACATTATCATCGTTCATATCTAGTTTATCACCAGGGATGACCATCTTCAGTTGCAGTTTGTCTCTCAGCTTTCTCTTCTCTTTCATCACTTTCTTACGTTTCCTAGCAACAAGTTAAATAATCAAATAAGAGAGACATAATAAAATAATGTTCTTGCAAGTATTATTACAATTGAATAAAATGATATCACAATTGTGGATTTAATGCAAAAAATAATATGAAGACATCAGCAATATATATTCATGTTAGAATATAGAAATGTCTAAAGATCTTTTGATTTGATAATTTGCTTACTTTTTTATTTCTTTGGCATCAGCTTCTTTCATAGTTTTCAATCGTTCTTGTATCTTCTCCATATCATCCTCATCACTGCTTTCCTCTTCTCCTTCTTGCTCCACCTCCCTGGAAAATATTCAATTTGCTATATCCTGAGGAAACTCATTCAACTTACAATCTCCCTTGAAAATATACACTCAAATTACAATCTACCATGTAATACTTGTACATTGAACTTACTTTCTCCCTTGACACATTCAACTAACTACCACTTGTAAATACATTCAATTTACAATCTTCCTAGTACTAAATACATTGAACTTTTCCCTTTGAAAATACATTCAACTAACCACCCCAATTGAAAATGCATGCAACTGTACCTGTTTATGACTACATTATTATATGCCCCAATGTCGCTGTTGACCCCTTAAATCGGACTTTGCTTAATAATCTACAGTGAATAACTTCATTTTCTAGACACCTACTTTTCAACTGTATCTTCTTTGGTTTTTTCCTCCAGCCATTTGCGTATCTTGGACCTCCAGCCTAACAGCATCTTGATCTCTTTCCTCCCCAGCACCTTTATGTCTTTGCAACATTCCTTGATTTCATCTGTAGTAGCTTTGTGCTTTACTAGGATCTCATCATCTAATACAATCTACAAATATATTTCAAGGTTTAGAACACACTCAAAACAACAAGTTTCTTTAAACATATCATTGCTTTACACTATCTAGTACAATCTATAAAATTAAATACAAGCCTGTCTGGCCTGCCATTTTTATCAGATTTTAATTTTTCTGAGGGGGTTTTAATATCTTATCTCTAAAAGGGAGTGGGGCTCTAACTTTTGTGCTTAACTAGGATCTCATCATCTAATACAATCTACAAAGGTTTAGAACACATTCAAAACAACAAGCTTCTTTAAACATATCATTGCTTTACACTATCTAGTACAATCTATAAAATTAAATACAAGCCTGTCTGGAAATAAATTAGGGGAACTGTGAACAGGCCATTTTTATCAGATTTTAATTTTTCTGAGGGGGTTTTAATATCTTATATCTAAAAGGGAGTGGGGCTCTCTAAATTTGGAGATAAGCTCACCTCATTGGCAACTGCTAAAAGCTCCAGATGTCCCGAACTGCTAATGAACTTAGAAGCATCCAGAGTGTGGTATAAAGTCAAATCTCCATCTGCGTAACCCTCCCTTTGCCTGTAAAACAAAACATTTATTTGGGGCTTATGACCAGACTTCATGTTACCTTGAATTTGCGTGGTACCATCATAGCACAGAGGGGACGTTGTGTATATTAGCAAACTCAGTGGTTTAGGAGAATAGTGATACATGGTATGTTGAGGTCTAGTAAGTTCCCAAGTTTAGATGTCTGTCAGTTCATTCATTAAAAATATTTTGAATACTTTTTAAATCTATTTTTGGACTTAACAGTGGTCTGTTTGTTCATTATTGTAAGAAGACAAACAAGTTGACCGTGTGTTGTTTTAAAAAACATATTTAAATGAAAACATCCCTTAAGGACGTGGTGGACTAATTAAAGCAAATTTTTAATTTTTGTAAAATGTGTTTTAAATGAAAGATCTTTCAATTTGCTAAAAAATACCTGCCATTTATTACAGACACCGAACACCATTTCAGGTTGTACCATAAGTTGCTCTCATTCAAATAAATATCTACACAAGGCATTAACATACAAAATTTCACCACCTGCCATTTATTACAGACACCGAACACCATTTCTGGTTGTACCATAATAAAGTTATTACCTATTTTGCCATAATAAAGTAATTACCTATTTTGCCATAATAAAGTTATTACCTATTTTGTTTCTCTGGGTGGAGCAGGTTCAACTTGTTTGGGTTATCATCTCCCTCAAATTCATTAAATATATGTTTGGGGTCTGTGAACTTTGGGTCAAGCTTGTCAGGGGCCAGGTAACCTTGGCATACGATGAAGATTTCGGCAGACTCATTTCTGGATGCTTGCGGCTTTGTGGCATGTACTTTCTGAAAAATATGATTCATGGCATGTTTGAAATATCTTTCCTTTACTTCTTTACATTTGGTCACACATAAGTTTTACTGTACCTTTAAATCTCTAATTTTAGATATTAAGTCTATTGTTGTATGTTTGGATAATTTATCTACATCTTATGTACAGACAGTTACATTTAATATAATTAATTGGGGAACATATTGTATATTCCGAGTACATGTACCACCAGTGATCTCCCCAGCATTAGCAAGTGGGCGCTGCACCCACCTGATATATTGGAAATAGGCTTGCGCTCACCTGAAAATCGATTTGCACCAATTTGAAAATGAGAAAAATTATGAAAAATGGGCATATTTTGACCAATTTTGGTCTGAATTGTAAAAATGAGAATTTTGCACCCACTTGAGAAAATATCCTGTGGAGATCACTGACCACTAACCTTGAACAGCTGTTTAAAGACCCACATGAGGGAGTGATAATCTTTGGAGCGGAACACCTTTGTGATGAACCAACCTCCTTTCCTGAGAAACTCTGTGGCAAGCTTCATAGCCTGAAGAGTCAGCTGGGCTAAAATACACAAATCTTGAGTTATTGTTTCAACCAAGAGTTACCAACTCTCAGACAGTTGACTAGCCATATTTCATGATTGAAAGTCAGCAGAAGTTTTTGAACATGGTGTTCAAAGTTTTTTTTTCGGGTAAATATGTGTGAACAGATTTTCTTTGAAATAACCTGACCAATAAATTTCCTTATCTCTTATTCAACCGAATCACTTATTCGGTTGTAAAAACTGAACTTTCAGTGATTTATAAAGTATGACAGGTTATAGATATCTGATTATTCAGTGAGGGTGGTTAAAAGCTCACACTGAGAGAATGCATCATAGATCCAGTTCTTTCCCACATTTGGAGCACCATCATTGAGAACTACATCAGCCTTCCATGTCTGTAGCTCCTTCTTTAGTTTCTAGAAAAGAGAAAAATATCACATAATAATTTAATTTTAGGAAATGATGCATCTCTAGAAGACTACTAAATCCACCATAGTACTTGACGCCTTCAATGGGCTTCGGAAAAAACCTCAACTCAGGTTACATTCTGAGTTCTTAATTCTAGAACTACCCACCAGGCCGTTTTTACTTTTTCTTGAAAATTTTATTCTTATGTTTGCTTTAAGAAACTTATGCTCTCTCCAAGAAGGCAAGAACTGAGAGTGAGCTTTGAAAATGTTTTTGATAATAAACATGTGGCATTTAAACAGAGGGTCCTGACATTCCTATCACCTACATTATTATTAAAGCTTAGTAATACAATATAATCTGAAAGAACATTAAGGCTCAGCTGGAAAGTAACATTTTGGTAAAAAATTGCTATACATGCACATGTTATTTTCTGGTACAAAATTAAGTATGTAGGCATGTATGTATTTCCTTGGTTTTTTCAGGAAAGTATCATTACACTGTCTTCTTTTAGTAAACCTGGAAACAGGTTAATGGTATATTCCAGCTGTACCTTAATTTAATAAGCTCCAAGTGAAAGTCTACCTGTCTACAGGATTCTGTTGTGATATCATCCTGCAGTAAGATTACATTTGGTATTGGCTTAATGGCAACAAGATCCACACCTAGAAAACAAGGCAGAACCTAAATATTTCTATAAAATATCCAAATAGAGCTGAATGTAATAGGTAGAACAAATAAAATTAATTGAAAGTAAAAGGGATGTAATCTTTTTTAAAATAGGAAAATGTTTTTCCGTTTTTTTTATTTTGACCATAACAAATTGAATTTTGAACTGAATTGGGATTTACGGATGAGAAACTATACATCTTTGAGGGCCTCCCTTACATAAACCATAGGCCTACAGGCCCGTAGCCAGGGGGGATTCCCCCCCTGGCCAAAAATTCTTTCAAAATCATGCAGTTTTTCACCATTTTGAGCACTTCTCAAGTAATTTTAGCCATATTTGGGCCAAAATTGTGAAAATGTGAACCCCCCTGGAAAATTTTGAAAACTGAACCCCCCTTTGCAAATCCTGTACGGGCCTGGCCATATCTAGAAACCCCATGTACTGTGCGAACTTCATTGAAATGGCCAGGTCAAGAGAGAGAAAATATATCTGTGTCATTACCTATAATCTGACTTGATATGGGCATGTGCTGGGCTGCTACTTGACACCATGATCCTGGGGCAGCACAGAGATCTATCAACACACGTGACTTCTGCAGGAACTGAAACTTCCTGTTCAACTGAAGAAGCTTGAACGATGATCTGGCTCGATAACCTGAATTTGAGAAAAATTGTTACGCTCTACTAGCATGCATCTTTTTCACTTTCACTGAGCATATATTCAACAACTTGAAGAATACCAATGATAATATTTGTGGAAAATCAGTGTGAGTGATATAGACTTAGTCTAGACTCTAAAGAGAAAAAATCAAAGTGTAAAAATATTGAAAAACACCTTACCAGTTTCTTTTGCGAGTTGGTAGAACTTATCCTTTCTGGATTTTCCAGTCTTTACCTTCTTCCCCATCTTTGAACGGTGCGATCACACTAAAATGTTCTAAGTTTAAGAAAAAAGGTGGAATAATGTGTTTTTTCAAAAATATTTCTCAACCACGTGTGTACTTTAAAAATGACGTCACTAAATTTTGTGTGCTTTAGAAATCCCGGTGTCACGTGATATAAATTTGGGGAATATCGTAAACGAGTTGGTCATGCTGAACTCAGAGGGGGAATAACACTTTGCTGAACTCAAGAGCTGAACTCACAAGATAACGAGCTTCAAAATATTGGTGATCTGGATTGTTATTGTTAAACCGTTTCCCACAAGATACAAGGCATCGTAAGTAAACACTTGTCACGTTATAAAACTTATTTTCAAACAGTTTGACTGAAATTTTCATTCTCCAAATTCGATGTTGCTCATTGAAATTCAAAACACAGCACTGAACAGTATGAGTATTATATATGTAAAAAACATTCTATGTTTCACCTGTTGCCTCTTGTAATTGAGGAAGTTTCAGGCATGCATGTTATTTTTTGAAAATGACATGTCAGAGAAGCAACAAAATACAACCATCCATGGGCGTGCTGCTATTTTTATGCCACCAAGGAAACAAGAGTTGAACGAAGCGAAAAACTAGCCTTAAGGTGCTATGGAACTTAACAGGAAATGACAAAACAGGAAATGACAATTTTTTTTGCATTTTTAGACATTTTTTGAACAAAGATAACAGAGTTCTGTTTTGACCTCCAGTCAATTCAACTAGTTCCAAATACCATTTACAGGTCCAGGATCACAATGTTCATGGTCAGAATGACCCTAAACATGATGAAATAACGTTTTCAGCCCTATGAAAATGTGACTGAAAAATAGCTAAAAGTAGGAGGGTAGGAAAGGTCACTGAACAGAATCTTTTGAATTTTTCAGAAAATGTGCCCAATATATTGCTCTAAATGATACAATCTTTGAAAATTTGATATCATTCATAGGAAAAGAAAAAAAATGAAAAAACTGATTTGAAAAGCAATCTATTTTCCTTTTTATGACCGCCATTTTTGTTTAAGACAATTTTCTAAAATTTCAAAGATTGTATCAGTTAGAGCATTATATTGGGCACATTTTCTGAAAAATTGTCTTTGTGTTAGCGTTCTGGGCACTATATACCCATGACAACAAACGAGAGCCACATATTACCCCACACCAGAAATCCAAGATACAGTATATACGGCGTATCACTTTGCGTGTAAAATATGAATGTAAAATATGAATGTATTTTTCATATGATTATGACACTAATCTGTGGTCTTTTGATTGCTTATTAGTTATTTTCTAGGTTTTATTGAGGCACAACCTAATAATATGTTGTACTGTAGGTCAATCTTAGACTGTAGAACCAGGGGAGACTATTTCATCAATGCTCTTGTATTTTCTATAAAATATATAACCCCAACTATAATATAAACAATACCCCAAATCATCATAATTATACTTTATTTCAGAGAATGCTTGCGTAACCAACAAAAATAAAGATGGCATCACCAGCTCTACAATCACTATGTTGCGTCGAAAATAAAACGTTTGAAAGTTTGGCAAGGAATTTATTTCTACCAGGATCTGATGGATTTAACTTTAATGCTTATAACATCATATGTATAGTCTCTGCTGCAATTAGTTTCACTGGCGCCCTCTATCAAGTGTTGCCACGTAAACCAGAGGAAAACAACCGCATCAGGAGGACAGTATCTCAAGGTCAACAGCGTGACATCGTATTCTGGCTCGCTATAGCAGATTTGCTGGCATGCTCAGGTAGTTTTTTATTTATGATTCTATTTTACATTCAGTGCTCTCCCCACATTGAAATCTCTGATTGCATTGCATCACAGTGTAATCAGATGTGCCTCCTAAAATGTTACGATAAAAAATAGGAAAATTATAAAATGTTGCACAAAAAAGTACAGAATCTTAAGATATTGCACAAAAAATTACAAAATCATAAAATGTTGCACAAAAAGTTCCAAAATACTAAAATGTTGCACTAAAAGCAAAGAATCCTGGGGAGAGCAACGACAAAATTATAACACAATTTCTCGTTGTAACATCTCTTTGATTTGATCTTGTGGGTTTGAGAAACATTTTCCTCTACCCTATTATATATTCCTTGCATTTCATGGTTGTTGGCTTTGTACATATAGTTGATCATTACAAGTAAATAATATTTAAGGCTTGTTATGTTCAGTTCATAGAACATATTTTTCAGATTTTATGATATTACTATGACTTGTCTACTTTTAAATTCAGTCAGCAGATACAGTAAAACCTGTCTAATCCAAACACCCTTGGGACTAGCCAAAATTGTTCAGATTGGCAGATGTTCGGATTTTGATGTTTTCTGTTGGTCAGGGGGGGGGGGGTATTTTCAATGTTCAGTCCTCCATATTGCACACTATCCAGAATACTGTTTATTGTACCAAGTGACATACCAAAGTCAGTGGCTAGTGTATGCTGAGATTTCACACTGGCTGTAACTTATAACTTGTTGAAGAATCTTGTTGATCTGCTAAACTCGATACATTGTATTGGCAATCCATTTTGTTGATGGGATATACTTTTAAGTTGAATTTTTTCTTGGGATATGATTGTCTACAAATGTGCATGTCTCGTCTTTGTGATTGTAAAACATATAACAATTGAATCTTACCTATCATAACAGAACCATGGGATATAAAACAATTAACCCTGTTCATAATCAAAATCAAAAACACCCAGTTAATTCTAATAATGATATACCAATTATCTCCTGAATTCACACCTTTTCTCTTAATCCAAATCAAATTATCCAGTTTTTTTTGTAATAGGATAAACCAATTATCCTGTATTCACACCTTTCTAAAACACCCTGTTGTTTTCCACAGTTAGAATGTCACCAAGACTTGAATAAGTTAATTAGGACAATATTGGTTCTTTGATTACAAAATCATCAGATATGTAAAGGTAAATGACAACTATAGCATTCTAATTGAAAGCCCATAACTGAATATGTGGCTCTTTTCATGTATAAGGTATTATTGAAATGTCCAGGCAAATCCAGACATTTGATATCTGATAAAGTGTTGAGATTAGACAGGTCAATTTTTCAAATATGCTTGTTCACTGTTTAGATTTTTTTTTAACATTTGAGTCAATGGGAGGAAAAAATGGTACTGAAAAAGTGTTTGGGTTGGAAGGTGTTCGGATTAGCCATGTGTTCAGAGGTGTTCTACTGTATGCTGGTATGCGATTTCACAAAAGACATGACAATCCAATCTAAAACAAATTAAAAAGGAAATTCAATCCAGTTGTCTAGACCAACAAAGTAGGAGTGTTACTTGAACAAACATTGTAGAAATATATACTTTAAGCTAGAGTTGGCATGAAAGGGTTAATATGTTTATGCCTCAGGCAATAGCACTATCCTGTTCTTTAAATTATAATTACATGTAGATAGGTCATTCAAATATATGAATTAAATGAAGCTTTTTAAAGGGAGAAAAAGAGAATGGACTCTATCTATTTTGCTCTTACCATCCCATTTTCAAAATATTGAAATTTTTGACTGTATTTCAGAACAATTCTTCAATTTAAAGGTTATCGTTAAGTTTGCAAAATTTTCATGAATTTGGACATTTATGCATCTTTAATCTTCAGTAACCTCTGTCTAAGTTTGATAAGGTATCTAATTTTTTCTGAAAATACAAGTAGGATTGTAAGGGAAGGGAAACATTAGACGTGAGCTTATTAAAAGCAAGGACGTCCTTGTTAAAAGTATTGCTTCCAACATTTTGCACTATCCATTTCTGATACATGTGCAATGATAAAACAGGTGTAAATTGTTGTTGTCACTTCTGTATCTTTGAAGTGAGACGATTATTTAATATCTCTTTACCCTTTTTCAAAATCTCTTGCTGCTCACTGCAAATCCTATATTTTATAATGATCCTGTAACGACCCTCACTCTGCATGGTAAGTGCAAAAGGTATTGGTAGCGTTAAAGGGTTGATGAGTGAGTGGAAGAATCGTCACATTATTACCGGGTCCGTGTTATGATTGTTTATGCTCTCGAGGGTTTTACAGACATGACTGGTTGAATGGCAAAATGGCTGAATATGTCGCACTGCGACATAAAACATACACCTAACTGACAAAACAGATGATTTAGTTTAAATATAAATGAAAACATGATTATGGGTTTATTTACAATATGATTACAAAGTGAGTATAGTAATTATGACAATAACACACATAGTGTGGAAATATATATATATATGAATTAAAGTTCTGATATTGTGACACATGGATGATATATGGTGCAGCGTTACTCAATGGCAACGGGTACCCATATTCAAGGATTATGCACAAAGGTGGATCGTTATGCAACTAAGATCCCTGAAATGTGGTTACGATAATATACATAGTATTTCCTATCAAGTACAATACATACTCAAGTAAGATTACATAATTACCAAGAAGCTGATACTGCAATTACACATTATTGAGCTCATATTCATAAATCCTACATTAACTACACATATAACATACAATACTTTCATCTGGGAGAGTGTGTGACACAACTGGTGACCAAATAAACATACATAGTAATATGTATTACCATGACTTTGCAACAACCTTTGACAATGAGAACAACAACAACTGGCACCTTGGAGTGTACGACATGACGCAAAGAACCGAATTACAACCACTGACAAAATGTAAGACCGATTAGAAATATCAACGTAACATTACGTATTCACAAGCTTGGGTGAAACATACCAAATAATGACTATAACAATAACTTGTACAACATTTGATTCAACATACCAATTAGTGATAACAATGTTTACATGACTGCTCATTATGTAACATGCTAGGAAAATTAATGTCATATAACATGTGGGTGCAATCACATGACATAGATATACATGTCACGCAACAAGTGGGCGCCTGCTATGAAACATGCCGACGCATGCTACATGACATATGGGTGCGGTTACACATCATGTGGGTACATGCTATGTAACAAGTGGGTGCATGTTATGTAGTAAGTGATCAATCATGAACATGAGTGAAACTGTATATCCAAGTTGGTAGTAGTACATCACCAACTTATAATATTCCATGACACAACATAAGGGTGGGTGCAACAACTTGTATTCCCTTTGGTAATATTGGGTGCAACAAATTGTATCTCCCTAGGGTGGCTTTGGGGAAAGCCATACATGCATACAGTATATAAATTATAGTACGACCTTAACGCAACGATACAATAAAACCGACACTCCAACCATCGATAAACAATAGAACAGTTCAAGCTCAAAACTAGTATCAAGCTAGACCATAAACCAGGGTTCCATCAGGGTTTAACTCAACACCATCATCTATCTGATACTAACTGTTGCCCAACAGTAAGACTTGAACTCCATAAGCCGACTACACACAAGCCAGACATTACGTAACATACAGCTGCACAGGGTAGTTTACAGTGTACCAAAACATGATCAATTTGGGTATTGATCATCAACAATGAGATAAACTGACATGATCAAACTGGGTATTAATCAACAACAATGAAGCAAACTGACATGATCAAACTGGGTATGTTGATCATCAACCATGTAAACCAAATATGGGTCAAATAATTCCAATGTGCCTTTGCATTAACAAGTCAAATCCAAATCCAAATGTAATACTTGCCAATTTGTCACACTCGATATACATAGAGTGCTTACAGCTTGAAATGAGGTGTAGGGTGTCCATCCACATGAGGTATTTGCATCAGCATATGAGTGGTTGGTTGTTGGTGGTATGTAGTTCGCCATTTGACAGACGTGCTGACATTTGCAGGTCATGCGGGAGGGGTGAACCTCAAACTTCAAGCCTGATTTGGGGGTCAGACTTCGTGCAGATCCTGTTGTTATCACCTCATGTGGACGGACGATTTACTGGTGTAAATCGTGAGACAGTTTAGACACCTCGATGGTCAACAATAGCGACATTTTGAGTGAAGATACCGGAGCAAATCACGAATGATTTACTCGAAAAACATAAGATGGCTACCTGTCTTCTGCGCATGCGCAGCGCCCTACATAAATTACGAACTTATGTAAATCCACAAAAACGGCCATAACTTCGCCAATACGGGACCGATTGCTAAGTTTAAACTACCTATAGAGAGCTGAATTTACGTATTATGTGCATATCCTACTAGATTAATGATAAAACATAGTAAACAGGGTGAAATTTAGACCAGAAAACTACGACAGTAACCTTTGACCTTGTTACGTCAAAAGTACGAACGGAACTAAGAATGGTTCGAGAATTACGCCAAAAGTACGAACGGGAGCAACAATATCCACAAATTACTAGAATAGGACACTTTAGTGGATAATAACGATCTAAACATGTATGTGAGTATATAAACAACATTAAGTGAAACCCAACAGTGGTGAGACATCGAACTGACATAACTGAATAGCGGCAAACAAGAAAGTAAATCTGTTGGGTTATCACAATCCTTTGATTAAAAATTTGTATTTCTGAGTCACTTCAGGCATCCAATGTCAACGTTTTTAGAAAATCAGGCATGGCTGGCTGTTTAAGACTTCTCTACTTGATCTCATTCAAAAATTATATCTCCAAAACACACACTAATTATTGGCTTGGTATAAACACTATATTAGTATCAGGCCTTTAGCCAGCTTTTGCCAAGGGGGTCGCCTTTGACAACTTTGTCCCAAAATCACTTCAAAAGTGCTCATAATGGTGAAAACTGCATGATTTTGAAAGAATTTTTGGCCACAAATCCCCCCCCTCCACCGTGGTCCTGAGTATGGTCACTATTTCAGTGAAGTTGACTTAGGTTTGGTTAAGAAAATGTCAGCATGGTTGGCTTGAAATGATTTACACATGTTATAACCAGGGCAGGGGTGTGACAGCCAACTTAATGAGATGGAGCTGCTAGACTTGTAAAATTGGGCTAACTTAGCCCTATTCACATGTTGATCCCATCCAGGTATTACATACTGTACTTAAATGATTATAGAAATACACTGGTTTAACAATATGTGATATTCAGAGGTTCATTCAGAACTAAACTCTGTACTCTGGGTATTCAACAGAAATGCTCATAAATTATAGTAATTTACTATAATATTTAATCTTTTTAAGTCTGTATTTATGAATGAAATATCTCACTACTTGACATGCAATAGTTGAATAAATCTACTTATCATGATATCTACTTATATTTGTACTTATATATATTTAGTGTCACACACGCATTATCATCTGTAAATGTTGTTTACTGGTAATTTGTAAAAATTCAAAATTGTAGACACCTTGCAGTGTTTGTAGATTTTTTCTCAAGTGGGTGCAAAATTCTTGTTTTCTCAACTTTGAAATCGGTCAAAATTTGCCCTTTTTTCCTGAATTTACTCATTTTCAAGTGGGTGCAAATTAATTTTCAGGTGGGTGCAAGCCTGTTTCTAAAATCTCAGATGGGTGCTGTGCCCAGCTGCTTTAGTGCTGGGGAGATCACTGCATGCTTGGGTGGTTGATTAAAATATTTTTTTATTATTTTTTTTTCAATATCATCTCAATAGCTTCAAAACTTCAATGGGCAGTTGAGACATAATGTAATCCTAAGAAAAGGTCAAGGTGGGTTTAAAAATCATACCATAAATTGTACTTTAAAACATAATGTAACTATTTCAACCAATCAGCCAAGTTTGTGCAAGTATGGGTAATAGTTTTTATATATTATGCATGTATTGTCTACATTTTGGATTAAGTGGTAGTCAGTCGAGGCTGTTACTGTATAATGTACACTCCCGTCCAAAAGTTTGAAAACCTTTTTCCCCATCGAAATACATTTTAAATGATTTGAATTTTTCACTTGTTAACAAGCAAAAATTTGGTTTATTTTATCACTGATTGTGTACATTTATATCCTCTAAGTCAAAAGCAGTAAAATTTAAAAATACGTTATTCATCAGATCTTTGCGATGGCCCCCATGCTAAATATTGGATTTTATTTTGTGCCCATTCAGGTTCAAGTATTTATAGGTAAGAGTCAATATGCCTTCTCATTGCAAAAGGAGCTCTTTAAACCACACACATAAATTCCAGTACTTTGGTATTGTGACCCTTTCAATATAACACATTTTTGTCAATTGTATTGAAATTAAAATGTCGGATTCTCTTCAAAAGTTAGTTTTCGGATTTTCCTTTAGATGTTAGATCATGGTCTATTTTTTTAAGAGATTTGTCACAGTTTTTCAAGATATCACCTTTAGATTTTGAAATATTTCTCAAAGAACTCCATGTAATCCCAGCATTTAGCTTGTGGATTTCATCTAATCTTTTTAAGTACAGTGTACCTTCATTTTTATCTCACCACCAGAAGTTGTGAGGACTTTTTGTGTTTGGTGTTTTGTGGTGTTCAGTGCCTGTTACAAACTCTAACAGCTTCCAATAACTGGTGGTATCATTGTTGTGGAGAGAAATCATCTGTTTTGGCACTGTTTGTAATTAGTCTCAAGAATTTTTTTTGTACTCTCAGAACTTGAAACAAGAAAGCTTTAGTTGCTGTTCCCCATAAAATAAAATATTTATATGGCTATATATGAGACAATTATAGTAAAAAGATATTATTGTAGTGTGATTTATCTTATTTTTGACCTTGTAAAGAATTTCAGCTTCTTGATATATTTTGGTAGATACATGAGCAATATGTTCATTCCTTTTTAGTCTTGATTTATTTAAATTTGGAATTTTCAACACTGGAAAACGTTAATTTGGTGCTTTATCAATAGATGTTTTTTGAATGCCCTTTGGAAGCCACATCAGTAAAACCTGTCTAATCCAAATGCAACTTGGACAAATCAAAAGTTTTCAAATTGGCACACGTTCACATTTAAGAAATTTTAAACATGAACATCTATATATGGCAAAACAAAATTTGGGACTAAAAGAAGTGTTCAAGGTATGAGGTGTTCAATTCAAATTAGAGAGGTGTACAGATGTATAGGTTTTACTGTAGTTAGCTTATTAAATAGAAAAAACTACACCGTACAGTCAATCAAAGCTACAAAAAATATATATATAGTACTAAATATGTGTACAAATGCGTATAATTTATTTACATTAAAACTTATAAACTGTCATTTTAATGGTGTCAGTTATGAAAGATTTGTACTTCATTCAAATATAAAGACAACATGAGGGTTAACGCAGTTGAAGTAGCTTGGTGAACTTCAGTCGCAAACTTTTACCTGTTTTATAATTTTTTAATTTTCATTAATCATATATTCATTGTCCTTCATAATAACTGATTTCAATTTCTGATTATTTAAATTAGTTCAACAAAGATGCTCCTCTTTGGAAAATAACTTGTGTAAAAGAGAGTTGATATTTTGACCAAGACTTGCTCTAACAGTGTCCAGGAACTTCCTCTATTTTGAGAAGATTTTATAAAAAATGATGGGTTTAAAGTCTATTACTATTTTGACCCTACCCTCAGGGTTGAATGATTTGATAATTCTGATGATGGTTTGTCATATCACTACCAAGAAACTACCCTCTGCTTAGTATAGACGTTATTACAATTAAACAGCCATAACTGGTGCCGTAACAGCCTGGGACATAAATCATTTCAAACCAACCACTTTTCTCAACCAATCAGCAAGCTGGAAGAAACATGTGCTTAATACTTGCTTATTATGTCACCACCAAAAGTGGTGACATATTGTTATGGTCCCAGTTTTTGTGACAGCGGTTAGTGGTTGGCATCCAACGTCTGTAACAACTTCTAAAAACTTCCAATAGAAGTTAAATACTGTTTTGACTGACTTCAAATTTTTCAAAATCATATACAAGTTCTCAGAATTTCAAATCTGACTTTGGATTTGCGATTTGACCTTCAATGACCTTCCCAAGGTCAAATAAAGGTCAAAAAGGTATTTTTTCAACTTGCTTCAAATTGACCAAATTGTATTTTCAAAATTATATTCAGGTTCTCAGAAGTTCAAATCTGACTTAAGATTTAAGATTTGACCTTCAATGGCCCTCCCAATGTAAAAAAGGGTCAAAAAGTTATTTTTTCAACTTGATCCAAAGTGATCATTTTTTCAAAATCATCTACACAATCTCATACTCCATCTTGGGGGTCATAGCCACTACAACCTGTAAATATGTTACATTGATTTTAATTAAAAAAAATCTCAGAATTTCAGATCTGGTTGTAGTTTTGAGATTTGACCTTCAATGACCTTCTCAAGATCAAAAAAGGTCAAAAAGGTCTTTTTCAACATGCTTCAAATTGACTAATTTTTTTTTCAAAATCATTACAAGATCACAGAAATTCATATTTGATTTTTAGATTCTAGACTTGACGTCTTCTCAACCTTCTCTTTATAACAAGAATATAATGAAATCCGACCTCTGCTGCCATCTTTACATCAGTCTAAAACCTATGATATTATTCCAGGTATATTGGTACGTTCAGCTGTTTGGTTGTCAGGGTACCACCCACACAACATACAGAATGACACTCTCCATACATTCAGCTATATATTCTGTGCAGTAAGCTCTGTAAGTATAGTAAAGGTTCTACTAAGGGGTGGGGAATTTTATACTAGCTTTCATTTGGTGTATAAATTTCTTGGATATATGAAGTGATTATTTTTAAAAGTTGATAGTAAATAGATTGGAACTTTTGGGCAAACAATACAGATGATTCCAGATTAGAGGGATCAGGTGGTTTGAAGCACAAAATTTATTTTATTTTTCCATAACTGTCTATATATTTGGACCTTACCTCGAATTAATGCATGCTGTACTTTGCAGTATGTATAAGTATTAACTGCTTTGTTTATTTGACAGGCATGGATCCAGTATTTCTACATTGTGACGTATGTTTGGACGTTCAACTATGCATTAGATGTCTTTCTCACTGTCAGAAACAAATCAAGGTAAAAATTCTCCAAATGCATGAATCCATTCTTGTTAACATCACTTCAGTAGAACATTCTCCAAATGCATCAAACAGTCCACTCCAGTGTGGATGGAACCCATGTTATTATCCCAACGAACGAAGTTCTGTAGGGATATAGTGAAGTCAGTCAGTCCGTCCATCTGTCCGGAAGATAACTCGAATACTAGTTGACAGATTTTTTTCATATTTGGTGGAAAGATGCATATTGGTGAACTAGAGCAGAAATTCGCCATTACTTAGAGTTATCTTGAAAGTATGGTTACATACTACAATGATTTAAAATATTTATTGAAGGTAAGAGTAGATAGCAAATATTCCATTGTGACTGTACAGATTGATGATTTATATATAGTGTTCGTTGGGATTTGCTACTCTGTGGAGTTGCCATTTTCTAGTGTTTATATTTTTACTATGTTAAAGGGATATTCCTTAACAGACAACCTCTAGCCTCATATGGTACTGTAACCATTCCTTGGAATGAATGATTCCTTCAGTGCTATGTGCTTGGGGTTTACTCATATAAACCATTTATTTTCCAGTCTGCCATGTTTATACCATTCCTTGGCATGGATGATTCCTGCAGTGCTATGTGCTGGGGGTTTACTCATATAAACCATTTATTTTACAGTCTGCCATGTTTATACCATTCCTTGGCATGGATGATTCCTGCAGTGCTATGTGTTGGGGTTTACTCATATAAACCATTTATTTTCCAGTCTGCCATGTTTATACCATTCCTTGGCATGGATGATTCCTGCAGTGCTATGTGCTTGGGGTTTACTCATATAAACCATTTATTTTCCAGTCTGCCATGTTTATACCATTCCTTGGCATGGATGTTTCCTGCAGTGCTATGTGCTTGGGGTTTACTCATATAAACCATTTATTTTCCAGTCTGCCATGTTTATACCATTCCTTGGCATGGATGATTCCTGCAGTGCTATGTGCTGGGGGTTTACTCTCACTCTATTTCCCATCATTCCAACAGTAAGTTCTACCATTCATTACGTTAAAGTGTATTTATAAATTGCTTTTTTATCTTTAATCTACAATGAAACATGTTAAGTGGAACACCTCTATTAGTGGAACACTTTTCAGAGTCCCAAGACTTAATGTTAAAAGAACCTCCACATAGTACCCATAGTGGAACATCTCCCAAGTGGAACTGTTTTAGAGGTACCAAAGGAGCTCCACTTAGACTGATTTTACTGTACTTTTATCTTCACAGTTGTATTGAATCTTCAGTGACTCATACATTATGTAATCTCTCAGTGAATGATATCATGTTATAGCTGCTTAACAATATCTTGCATTGTTTTAGATGCCATATAAGGAGTATGGTACACATGCTGCCTCACTACCTCTCAACATATGCCCCAATCCTCATCGTCATGGTAACCAATCCCATTCTTTACTCATGGACAAGTAAACTCAGTAAGTATTTTTTTTGCAAAAGAAGCAAAACCAGATTTGTTTCTTGTGCAGTTGATTTTAGGTCCTGACAAATTGCTAGGCAATTCAATTTGTTTCATACGAGCAATTTTTTTGATTCAGCACATTGACATTGAATTGTAGAATTCTTTGATTTTATATTTTCTTGAAGAGACAAGTTCATGAGTTCCGAGCAATTTTTAAAGAACTCCAAGCTCGTAATAAAAAAACATTAAACATTAAACAGTAAATTTTAGGTTGTATACCTTACTATTGCAATGAATGTAAGTCAACACCCCTTTCATAAAATGTTTGAATTTGAGCCATTTTTAGGATACCTTATTGACTCTTCTGTTGTCTTTTCAGCAAAAAGAGCCATAGCTCATAGCAGGGCCCAATTCACTGACTTTGAAAGGAAAATCCTAAGATCTGTCACTGAGAAATTTTTTCTCATTACCCTTGTGTTCTATATATGGTAAGTTATTTTCAACCCATTTGTGCATCATATTGAGAAAAGGTTGAAGGTACAAGTTACCCAATAACTAAAGGCCAGGAAAATCCACATGTCAACAAAATCACCCAGTTGCATGCTTTTTACATTAACACAATTGGACATATTTGATAATTTGAGTTTTACATGTACATGTACATTATTCCATTTTTAAGTATTTAAACAAATAAACAAAGATTTATTTTAGTTAGTTTTCTCCTCGCTATGTCATGGTATCTAGCCTGACCAAACCCATTTCTACCATTTATTGGTCCATCATTTTACCAAACAATCTTTTTTATGAACAAATTATCTATTAATGCAGAGTAAATACTTCAATTCTATTCTTTCAGTTGGTTACCTAACATAGTAAATGGCATTCTCACCATAATACAGTTGCATACACATGTGCCAGATGGACTAGTTATAGGTGTATGGGCCTTCATGGTAAGTTTGTTTTGGTTACCTAACATATTAAATGGCATTCTCACCATAATACAGTTGCATACACATGTGCAAGATGGACTAGTTATAGGTGTATGTATATATAGAAAATAACAGGGGGTACTTTATTATCCTTGAATAACTTTTTCAGTTGATCCTTAATCATCACAATAACTTTACTGGAAGTTGTTAATATCATTCTTAACTAGTATGCAAAGTTTCAATGATCTGCCATTAATGGTTGTCATGGAAACCATGATCTTTGTTGAAAAAGTCCATAATTTAGGTAAAACCTTTACCTCTACATCATACAGAATATGCATTATTTTTCAAATCAACAGATATCAGAACATGTTAGTACTCTAAAAATTATCAGGACAGTTCAGACATTTGTTTAAATATAATGGATATTGTTATTCACATGATTGGTAAGTGTCAAAGACCATACAATTACATAGGTGATCAAAAGTGGGCGTCGCCCTTATAATAGTAGGTGATTACCATTACCTTTAAATACAGATTTTAAGTTGACTTGAGATACAATTATAATGTACTTCTATTACCATAATCTATATCAAGCAATTCTGGTAGATACATATTAGTGTTGTAGGTATTACATCATGCTAGGGATGGGGGGGGGGGTATGTGGGGGGGGGGGTACATGGGGGTAGAGGTAACCAGCCTTATATAAAACTCATATTTAAAGTTTTAGTTTCATGTGGTACATCTTTTGGATCTTGTTCTGATTTATCTCAATATATAGGATATTGCAATTTACATTATCGGAAAGTGTCAAAGACCATACAATTACAATACAAATGTGATCAAAGATTGGCTTTGCCCTCATAATGATAATAGATTACTACCATTTTCTATAAATATGGAGTTTAACTTATGAGGTACAATTATACTGCATTTCTATTACCTTAATTCATATTAAGCATTTCTGGAAAACACATTTAAGTCTTGATGTTATTCCAACAGGCTGGGGGGGGTTCGAATGTGGGGATGGGGGGGCAAAGCTAGTCAGGATTAGTTATAAATCTCATCAACATAATTTTGGATCTTATAGGGTATATCTTCTGGGTCATCTTCTGATTCTTCCCCTAGTGTTAAGATATCAACAATCTCTTGTGGTAGAATATCTATTGTTACCTACTGAACTTCCAGATTTTTTAGAATCATTAAGTTTCCACCCGTGCCCATCGGGTCCTGGAATATTAGGTTTTTCAAAATGGGCTATACGCCAGATAAGTGCCTGGTAGTTGGCTCTTGCTAAGTGATGCATTGGGGAGTCTTAACAAGGGGGAAGTAGACTAATATCTGTTCCTTCATTGTCAGTTATTGTTTTAGTATGGGGCCTAAACTTCTCTTTAAATAACACATATCTGGCTTAACACATATCTGGATTTGGGATATTTGAGGTTTCCCATACTAGTATTCAGGGTGTTTCATATGTATGCACCCCCCCTCTAAACTCATACATGTAGCATTGCCACCGTATCATATTACATATCATTTTGTGCCTTATGGAAAGTTACATAAGATTCCAAAGTTTCAGAATCCAGGGGTGTCACTGACAAAAGTTATAATCTAGATTGTGGGTACCGGTCATTTAGACGGCAATTTCTGGTGATTTTGAGGACAATTTAAAGGACAAATTTAGTTTCCGTATTGCACATTTCTTGCTATTGTCACCATGGCAGAGCTCAGTCCACATATCAGTGGCAGTTATGCACAAATAGGTATAGACAGGATTCATGGTGTGGCTTATAGGGAGTTCAGGGACCATGGGACCACCTTTATCGCCATAATTGGGTAGCAGACAAAGTGAACAGATCTCCAGACAGGCATAAAAATCCTTACAAAAGTGCTTATAAATGACCCCTTACCCACATATTTTGTTGGATTGTATCTTTTTTCAGGGACACCTCTTGATTCTGAAACTTTTCAGTCATAATTAACTTTTCATAAGGAACAAAATGATATATAACATAATACGGTGGCAATGCTACATGTATGAGTTTAATGTATAAGGTGCATACATATGAAACACCCTGTATATGGTATATACAAACTTTTCTACTTTACTGGTTGTTTCGTCATTTATGTCTGCTGAGAGTCCTAGTCCTTTGAATGTGTCTGTATGATTCTCCACCTTTGCCATTGTTTTGAAAGGTGTTACTTTGCCCCTCCGAACCATGGCACTTACAGTGTTACACCCAGTGAAAGTGTGAAGTGCTGGGAGGGCTTCACATATTTCGGTATGAAATGATGAGAAGAGGCTTGGCAGCAACTTAACCAAAGGGAAAAATATAATGCTAAGAAAATGCAAGGCCAAGAAATATACTGACTATGAGACACAAAATTATGTTGATGAGATTTATACCTAAGGCTGGCTAGCATAGCCCCCCCCCCCCACCCACCCATTCTATCCCCCCACTTCAAGACTTATATGTGTTTTCCAGAAATGCTTGATATGAATTATGGTAACAGATATACAGTATAATTGTATCTTATAAGTTAAACTCCATATTTAGAATTAAGAATAGAAATGTCAGGGAAATTGATTTAATTTCCAGGTGCTGGAAAGGTCAGGGAATGTTAAAATTGGGTCAAAAAGAGTCAAAAATGTCCGGGAATTTTGAAACAGTAGATATGTCAGGGAATTTTGTATCAATGTTGAAATATAATGTTCCAGCAAAATACATTTTAGGCTATGACAGGATATCAATGAAATCCAAATTCTAACATTCAGTTGTTTCCACAAAGCTGTCTGTTCCACAGTCTGGTCTTACATCAGTCTATTCATCTGCCCATCTGTCAAGGCAATAACTCAAATATCAGTTCACAGATTTTGTTCAAACTTTATGTACTGATGCTTTGGTCATATAGGGCCTCTGCTCAAAAAGACACTTTCACCATTTTTGGTTCAGATTAATTGTGCAGATGGGCACATGCTCTAGAAAAAAGGTTGTTGCTACTCAAAAAGTTGCTGTTTTCAGAAGAAGCATGATTACTGATAATACAAATACCGATTATTTTATTTGGTATCATAGGACTATTCCGTATAGTGTCGCTACTAGAGAAGGAATTTCTAATATGGTGTCATGTCTTGGTGTGGATTTTCCCAAAGGGAGAAGACAATAGTAATGCCAGGTTATTGTTATCATATAATGTTAACAATGATCAGTAGTTGACAAATTATAGTTTGAAATGCTTAGAATGCACCATTTACAATGTAAATTTTTAAAAATTTCGGGAGGTGAACCGCAGTATTCCCTTTTGGGTTTCGCTTCACTCATAGTGATGCAAACCCAAATAATTTCACCCCTTTAACATTTACTGGGTACTCCCTGTACAAGTATGTTTACCTTTAACCTTATGCAATGTAAAATCTGTAAAATTAAAAATGTAATCTATCAGGAATAAATTGGTGAATAAGATGGCTTTTAGAAGTAATTCTAAGTTACCGGTATGAGAAAATGGTACTAAATGAGAACCCCAAAATGTTTCATAATATGTCTTGTCTTAAATAATACAGTTGTTTGAGACTTTTTAGTGGGATGGGCAAGACTTTCCTTTTTGCCTGGAAATGTCAGGGATTTTCATTTTAAAAAGGTGTATGAACCCTGTTATAATGAAGGCAAACCCCACTTTTAAACTAAAACTTTATATATGAGTTTTATATAAGGCTGGTTACCTCTACCCCCCCCCCCCCCCATATACTCCCCCCATCCCTAGCATGATGTAATACCTACAACACTTATATGTATCTTCCAGAATTGCTTGATATAGATTATGGTAACAGAATTGTATCTCAAGTCAACTTAAAATCTGTATTTATAGGGAAACGTAATCACCTACTATTATAAGGGCGACGCCCACTTTTGATCACCTATGTAATTGTATGGTCTGTGACACTTACCAATCATGTGAATAACAATATCTATTATATTTAAACAAATGTCTGAACTGTACTGATAATTCTTAGAGTACTAACATGTTCTGATATCTGTTGAGTTGAAAAATAATGCCTATTCTGTATGATGTAGAGGTAAAGGTTTTACCAAAATTATGGACTTTTTCAACAAAGATCATGGTTTCCATGACAACCATTAATGACAGATCATTGAAACTTTGCATACTAGTTAAGAATGATATTAACAACTTCCAGTAAAGTTATTGTGATGATTAAGGATCAACTGAAAAAGTTATTCAAGGATAATAAAGTACCCCCTGTTATTTTCTATATTAGGGTCTAAAACCCCACTTTGGCAACTTTCGCCCCGGATACGGCGCGTCAGACAAAAAAATTCTGAAGTATCACATAAAAATACATAAGAAACAAGTAATTTCAATTTGTTCACTGGTAAAAACATTTTTGTGTCCTAGCTTACTACCTATTCATGGTTAGTTTGCTTTGGTTACCTTACATATTAAATGGCATTCTCACAATAATACAGTTGCATACACATGTGCCAGATGGACTAGTTATAGGTGTATGGGCCTTCATGGTAAGTTTGTTTTGGTTACATATTAAATGGCATTCTCACCATAATACAGTTGCGTACACATGTGCCATATGGACTAGTTATAGGTGTATGGGCCTTCATGGTAAGTTTGTTTTGGTTACATATTAAATGGCATTCTCACCATAATACAGTTGCGTACACATGTGCCATATGGACTAGTTATAGGTGTATGGGCCTTCATGGTAAGTTTGTTTTGGTTACCTAACATAGTAAATGGCATTCTCACCATAATACAGTTGCATAGTGGCAGATGAACTAGTTATAGGTGTATGGGCCTTCATGGTAAGTTTGGAAGGAGTATTAATGAAAAAGGACAGTGTCTTTAAATTTGAGGCATAATATACCCAAAAGTATTTCAATTTAAAGGCTTATGAAATAAAAACAAATTCCTTTGCAAGGGTGCTGTCATTGTCATGGTGACATCCTCTTTAAGCCTGATTGTTAACTAAAACATAGCTCATATATTAAAGAAACATATAAGAGGAAATACAAACCATTTTATTTGAAACTGGAATTTTACATTGGCAGCCATCATCACTGTAACAAGTGACTTCCAGTCTAGTAACTTACTCCCTCTTTTAAAATTTTGAATGTCATATTCCCTATTAAATGTAAGCCACCATCATTCTGATAACATTATATATGTCCTCTTTTGTGACTGCCATTCTAATAATAACATATCCTCCCTATTTCAGGCAATAGTGAACCCTATGCAAGCACTACTAAACACATTGGTGTATAAAGGATTTGCCTCATGGAAAAACATTACGTTACCGGGAAAATTAAAGAAATCTCAAATCGTCACAATTCAGGAGAAAGAGGAGAATTTTGGTGAAACGCTTACCAAGAGCTATGGTGATGAGTTTATTGGATCAGGCAGAAACTCTGATACAGCCCCCATGCTTAAACCACTTAACTTTAGAGATGATTACTTTAGAGACTTATAGAAATATCCAGCATTTTATTTGTTAAAGGCATTACCATGACATGGTGGTGCATTGACAGCCATTTTTATTTTTGATGATGGGATTTAAAGGCCCCATATGTTTAAACCACTTTGTACATTACGCAGCCATTTTTATTTTCAATCTTCAGCTTTTAGGAAGATACAAGATAAGGCATGGTCATATGTCGCCATTTTTAAATTAAATTAAGAAATGTAAGGAATTTTGAATTTTTATTCAAGTATTGGAGCTGGTAAAGAGAGATTATCTGCAACTAATATGTATATTTTGCTGTAGCAGTCAGAATTGTGTGATTTTATATAAACTTTATAGAGGGGGTGATTGAGAAATATGTTACTGTATTTGTCTTTAGTTGGCGAGCATTTTAAAGTGGCGAATTTTGGCGAATTAAGAAAATCACAAATTAATTAGTCGCCAAAATCCTTGGGAATATATGTTTTTCATTCGGTGCACTTCAGGCTATAAGAAAGATACCAAGATGGCTGGGGCTGTTTAAATTCATAGAAACAACAAGAAATATTGAAGAAATTTATATAAACAACAATAAATATAGGAGAAATTGTTCATCAACAGCACTATCAATGAGTATCTTGAATTGGGTTGGATGGGAGGATGTCTTGGACACTAGAAAAACCGCGAAATTAAATAGAAGCCAAGAGGCCCAAAAACAGAAAATCGCCAAATTAAGTACCGCCAAATTAAAGACAAATACAGTATTTTATATAAACTATATAGAGGATGCGATTGAGAAATATTTGATTTTATGTAAATTATATGTATATAGTGCATTTCATATATAAGAGGAAGGAAAAGTCCAGAGATGAGAGATGACATTCATAATTATGTCTCTTGTATACCACCTTCCTTTGTTCTAATTTTGTGATATGTGAAGCGATGTGAGCATTTTTTCTACACATTTCTTTATCTTGATGTGAAATAACAAGCTTTGATGTTGGTGAACAAGCAAGAAATGAACATAATATTATTCAAAGCGATCTAGAAACTTTTGAATCCGCCATTGAATGACGTCATTTGTCTGTCGATTTGACCAATCAGCAACAGTGTCATATCAATACACATTCACTTTAAAGATGTATTTTATCTCTGAACCCTAGGTATTTCCCCCTCTCAATATATGATACTTACAATATAATGGTCAGAGTGATTCATATAGATGTCAGGCCAATTAAAAGGTTGTTTGCTACTTCCTGTTGTATCAGATGTAGTCAGAAGCTGAATATTAATACATAGGGACTTACACAGATCAGAACATAATTGTAGTCAATGTATTGTAGTCAGAAGCTGAGTATTAATATATTGGGACTTTCACAGATCTAGAACACAATTGTAGTCAGAAGCTGAATATTAATATATAGGGACTTTCACAGATCTAGAACACAATTGTAGTCAGAAGCTGAATATTAATATATTGGGACTTTCACAGATCTAGAACACAATTGTAGTCAGAAGCTGAGTATTAATATATAGGGACTTTCACAGATCAGAACACAATTGTAGTCAGAAGCTGAATATTAATATATAGGGACTTTCACAGATCTAGAACACAATTGTAGTCAGAAGCTGAATATTAATATATAGGGACTTTCACAGATCTAGAACACAATTGTAGTCAGAAGCTGAATATTAATATATAGGGACTTTCACAGATCTAGAACACAATTGTAGTCAGAAGCTGAATATTAATATATAGGGACTTTCACAGATCTAGAACACAATTGTAGTCAGAAGCTGAATATTAATATATAGGGACTTTCACAGATCTAGAACACAATTGTAGTCAATAGTTGCAATCAGATATGAAATATTATTAAAGGAGTTGTACATTCTTAAGACATGTTTGAAATGCAACTTGTAGTCTATGTAATTCAGTCAGAAAAATATTACTTTTATAGGATTTGTAACAATCTAATTCACAAATTAATAATCAAGCATATCAGTCAGATATAAAGTATATTAATTATACAAATTGTAGTTTATTTATTCCAGTTAGATGGAAAATATGTTTTATCAAAGATCAAGTCTTACGAACACCAATTTTAGTCTAATAGCGTTTCAGTCAGATGTAAAATATTTTTATAAAAATTGTAGTTTATGTATTCCAGTTAGATGGAAAAAAAATTTGTCAAAGGAAAAGTCGAGAACACCAATTGGAGTCTAAGCGTTTCAGTCAGATATAAAATATTATGATACAAATTGTAGCTTATGTATTCCAGTTAGATGGAAAATATTTTTCATTAAAGGAAAGTCTAGAACACCAATTTAAGTCTATTAGCATTTCAGTCAGATACAAAATGTTATAATACAAATTGTAGTTTATGTATTCCAGTTTTTTTTTTAAATTTGTCAAAGGAAAAGTCTAGAACACCAATTGGAGTCTAAGCGTTTCAGTCAGATATAAAATATTATGATACAAATTGTAGCTTATGTATTCCAGTTAGATGGAAAATATTTTTCATTAAAGGAAAGTCTAGAACACCAATTTAAGTCTATTAGCATTTCAGTCAGATACAAAATGTTATAATACAAATTGTAGTTTATGTATTCCATTTTTTTTTAAATTTGTCAAAGGAAAAGTCTAGAACACCAATTGGAGTCTAAGCGTTTCAGTCAGATATAAAATATTATGACAAATTGAAGTTTATGTATTCCAGTTAGATGGAAAATATTTTTCATCAAAGAAAAAATCTAGAACACCAATTGTACAAAAGAAGTTGTAGTCGGTAATAGATTTCAAGTAGTGTTGCTATAGCTACCATGACAACAATATTTTAATAAAAAAGTGATTTTGTATTTTATATATTGTGCATAATCAATAATATTTATAAAGTGGGTTTTACAGCTGATAGGTGTTCAAGCTTGGGTTTTACGGTTGTTAGTAGGAACTTCTGTAGGAATTTCATTACAACTGAATCAAGCTTGGATTATACGGGTGTTTAGTGAGTAGGAATTGGTGAATTTCTTTACAACTGATGTATAACAGCTGAAGAATTAGCTCAAAGATGTATGTATGCCTATAACAATAATTGCTTCTTGGCTTGACATTTCAGCTTTTTTCATGTCAAATATTTTGGGGATGAATATATAAACATGTAACAAATAAATGTATACAGTAAATCCTGTAAAGTGAAACACCTCTAGAAATGGAAAACCTTTGTTATTGGAATACTTCAGAGTGCCAAAACTAAATGATTAGTGCAGTGGAACACCTCCAAAATAGAACACCTTTAGGAGGTACTGAATGTGTTCCACTTGACAGGTTTTCCTGTATTTAGACATAAAGTAAGGGTTGTTCCTTGTATGACTGTTCATATGTAACATTACAGTGTACTGTAGAGGTATCAGGGTATGTAAACCGTGCATGTACTGTAATTGTTTAAGGTGCTGTGGTACTTAACAGGAAATGACAAAACAGGAAGTGACAAAACCATGCTTGATTTCAAACATTTTTTGAACCAAGACCTCCGGTTAGTTTAATTAGTTCCACATGTCATATACATGACCAGGATCACAATGTACTGTACATGGTCAAAATGACCCTAATAATGATGAAATAACTTTTTCAGTCCTCTGAAAATGTGTCTGAAAAATAGCTAAAAGTAGGCGCTTAGGAAAGGTCATTGAACAGAATGGTTCTGTCATTTCCTGTTGAGTACCACGGCACCTTAAATGTTATAGAGATTGGATTGTATGCATATTCAATAAAGTTCTACTATTGCTCACCTAAAGCACTAATAAATGAATAAATAAATATTTTACTATAAGATGACTGAATTTTGTTTCTGACAAATCAAAAACAGCAGGCCCATAGCCAGATTTTTCCATGGTCAGTTAAAAGCCCATGATTTTTCAAATGAGGTTCACTTAAAAAATTCCAGGGTGGTTTGCTTTTGACAACTTTGGCCGAAATGCCCTTGAAAAATGCTCAGAATGGTAAGACTGCAAGATTTTGAAATAATTTTTGTCCCCCTCCTGATCAACAAAACTGAAGCAGATGCCCATGGATGGCAATAAGACTAAGAGACCCTTTATATATCATTATGCCATCTTTATGTATGTTTATAATGAAGAAAAAATTCATTTTGTATTAGTTTTGTACTGCTCAATGAAATGAGTGGATATTAAGGAACAATGTTTTTATTTTGACAATACCCACATAATATGTAACTGATCTCTCTCATATTTATAGCACATGCAAATGATACCCTATAGTTCCTCAATAAAAAATGTTCAAAGAATTCGGCTCATCTATTGCTGGCATAACACTTGTCAAAAAGCAGCTATTTTTGAGACATCCCATATATCAGTCAGTTATCAAATCACCCCTAGTGAACCTAACTTAAATATCAGTAACAGTGCTGCTGCATTGTACTAATAATTATTTGAACTCAGGACCAGACCAATCTAATTATCTACTGAGCTATTCACAGATTCTTAATTCATTTTAACACACATTCTCAAAACAAGCTTGCGAATTAGAGTTCACTCTTGGCAGTAAAATTGGAAAATGAGTTACTTATTAAGCAATGGATGGAATGTCAATATGTTAAGCTGGACGATAATGTTTTCAACCTTAGTCATGAACTTTATCATCTGTAATCACGCATTCTTAATAAATGCCTCTGAAAACATGATGTCCTGGTATTTTTATTTATTTATTTTTACACTACGCTTTTGATGCAGCGGCACACCTGGGTACGTCCACATAAACCTTAATTACATATTAAAATCTTGTACAGGTTTACAAATGCAGTTGTAGGGACGTTAAAATAAGGCATTAAAAGGTATAAAAGAACAAAATACGTTTTACATGTATAATTTGTTAATATAGTAATATATTTCATATTTTGTTTGGAAGATTTGCAATCAACATTTATAATTCAACACATGCATAATATCAACTTTTCTATAATGCAATATATGCGTACATTATATGTTTCATTTTGAGACATACAAAAAATAATAATATGATAATTAGGTAAAAATATGATAATTAAGTGATAATTTGCGCAAAATGAACATAGTTATGATGTAAGACCAGTCAATAACACCATGTGTAACTGTTTATTGATGTACATGTATGTGTTCTTATTGATGGCTCATTATTTATCATTCTCCAAATCCCAAGCCTCTAAGATTTTCTTCTTATAGGAAGATGGAGGTACAGTTCTTGACACCTGCTTTGGAGGATGATATTTATATGTTGCATAACAAAGAATATATTTGATACAAGCTAGGGCTTGCTATATTAAGAGAATGGAAATTGTTACAACTTTACATTGTACATTTTGAATTCTAAAATAGTGGATTGAAAAATATATTAATGCCCATCAATTACACATATACAATTATGAATTGACTGGCCCTTCCTCTCAAAATGAAACAATATATGTTGCAAATATTATTCACCTTTAAATAACTTTAATACCATTTACATTTCTAGAAAGGCATGGACGAATTGTCACCCAAACACTTAAACACATGCAAAAATAAAATATATTTCTTTGTAACCAGCCCTAGTTCTTTCTAGGATCATCAAACTGTTATTGCTATTAGTTATACAAAATAACAGATGTTAAAATGTAACATCAAAAGATGTCACCACTTGTATACAGCAATTAAGAGTTCAAGCAGCATAGTCTCTGCATCTATTACTTTTTTAGTTTTTGCAATACTACAAAAGTTCCATAATTTGTTGTCATAGCTACAAAAAATGCTTAAAATCTAAATACTTCTAGGATGTCGTAAACTTGTAATAACATGTAGTCAATGCATGAGTTTAAAGATTAATCTGACCATTAGTTCTCAAGTTATCACTAAAGCCCCTGGGGGATCTTCATTATTTCATCATACTGCTTGTCCCTATATTTTATACTGCATATTTCTATTGATTTCAGGAAGCTAATGTACGATTGCAATATCAAATGTGACTAAGGCATAAGTTACAAGTGTTTGAGGTACTATAATTCGTTACCCTGGTACAGGAAAATGCCTCGAATTAAGGCCCTTTGAATCTAAAATTAAGCTAACATCGAGTTATAATTCCCTAAGTACTCTGATTTGTTGCCATGGAAACAGATATGCCAGATATCTATTCAAATGTATAACCAATCAATATGTGCTCACTATATGTAACACTTATTTTATGGAGGAATTTGATTAAATTTCTAAAACTGTTGCCATAACAACAAGATTGCTGTTTCTTGCCTGTCATGGTTTGTGCTATAGTGTCGGTGGGCAACCACGATCCTCCAAATATTCCAAAGGAGGTTTGGTGTTCCCATAATCCCCAAAATGGGGCTAGCTATCCCCTATAAGTATTCATTAATAGAGATTATTGGAGAACTCATAAACGAGAATTAATATAATATCATATGTATTGGCACCTCTCTTGCATATTACATGAAATTAAATTCCCTCATGTTTAATTGTTGCCGTGGAAGAAATTATCGTGCATATAAACTGAAATCAGAAAGATTTCGCTTACTGTAAATAACCAATGAACAAGTTTGATTGTGCATGGAATATTGACACAAATTGTACATGTAGTGTACATACAATATGTACACTGATTGTATATGTACTCTACATGGAATATCGACACTGATTCTACATGTACTACAGTTGTACATATAATATGTACAGCGATTGTATATGTACTGTACACATAATATGTACACTGATAGTATATGTACTCTACATGGAATATTAACACTGATTCTACATGTACTGTACATACAATATGTACACTGATTATATATGTACTGTGCATGAAATATTGACACTGATTCTACGTGTTCTGTACATACAATATGTACACTGATTATATATGTACTGTGCATGAAATATTGACACTGATTCTACATGTATGATACTTGTACATATAATATGTACACTGATTGTATATGTTCTCTACATGGAATATTGACACTGATTGTACATTGATACTAAATATAAATTGATACACTCAGTAATATACATGAATCATTAATGTAAGTTCTATATAATCCTATTTGTATAATTGTAACATTGTCCTCAACAAGCCATGCTGAATGTTTGATTTGTAAATGGCAATGAATACCCTGTTTAATTTATCAATGGTGGGATGGATAGATTTCATAAAAAACTTTACAAAAAATTAATTACAGGCCCATAGCCAGGATTTGCCAAGGGGGTTCACTTTTTGAAGAATTCCAGGGGGGGGGTTAACTTGTGACAATTTTGGTCCAAAAATGGCCAAAATCACTTAAAAAGTGCTCAGAATGGTGAAAAACTGCATGATTTTGAAAGATTTTTTGGCCAAGGGGGGGGGGGGGGTGAATTACAACTATGTTTCTCAGAGATAATTGTATATGGTGCCATATACTGTATCAAAATTTACTACAATATCAAAATTTATTACAATATCAAAACAAATAATACTGCCAAAGTAAGACCTCTTGGTTGTGCATATGATAATAGGGAAGTTAAGCTACGTACATGATTTATAAGGGAACTTGAATGTACCTAAATGTATTTTTGCCTCTGTACTCAGTTGGGCATGTAATAACTACCAAGGGGAGAACTTATCCCTAAAGGACCATCATTTTACACATTCAAACATGAAGCTTAACTTCCCTAGTGTATACTGTACATGTATGAACACAAGTATTTTTGTGCATCTTTTTGTGACCATGTATTGTTTAAGTAAGCCAGATTTGATATCTAGGCCTTTCCAGTGAAAATGAACTTGTATACCAGCTAAGGCAACTTTGGAATATTGGTTACTTAAATTATGTCAACTCAGGCAGCTATGGAATACTGGGTAAACTAATCATTCAAACTTTAGCAAAACAAAGGCAACTAGATAAAGGCTTGATCCATAGATGGGGTCATAAGGAAATGTGCCAATCACTATAGACATAATCATATACTATATATACAGGGTGGGCCATTTGTTTTTGAAAGGCAAAACATTATCCAAACATTGCTTATATGTGATAAAGTTGACATGCATAAATCTGAGAAAAGGCATATTTCAGGTGATTGTGTGATATCATATACTGGAATGGCCAACTACATAAATTCACCAATATCGGATCTTGATAAAAGATAACATTATTATCCTGATAGAGATTAATGTTATCTCTAAAATATTGAACACTTTTGTATACGTTGTAGAAACTCTGTCAAACTACATCTTCACTCAGTCCTTATTATGGAATTATCATTTATAAAAATAAAGTGTCTTGTCATTTTAAAAGCTATCCAACAGTTAAGTATCTTCTAACAAATAAATAGTATATGTATAACAACAATATGGTTGCCATAGTAAATAACATAGTAGTGTTGCTTTTAGCAACAATAGTTGCTATAGCAATATCATGTTTTATTTTTTCAGCATCGGGAATGTCTCTCTAAATGGCATATTTTTCTGTCCCTCATGGGTACGGTTTAAGCTGGGAGAGAAATGCATAATCTCTGTGGTCCCACTTAATGTCTCGAAATTTTTTTTTAAACACAAAAAATAGAAATTGAGATTTTCAGAACGACGAAAAAGGAGGAAAATACACTAAATTTTATTTGTCAAAGTACATGACAGCCTGATAGCCTTCAATTTGTGCAGAAAGGCTATAACAGAAAATGGCAATTGGAGAATTTCAAATTGATCTTGTCTTAGCAAGACAAATTCATGAATATGGAAGCTCATTATTTGGAACCTTTTGTCTCTTATACTCTACCAGAGGAGGAAGGACAGAAAAATATGTCTAGAACATCTCCAAATCTACCCTGAGAATCTATTCTTTAGGCCGGATATTTTTTCTGATTGCATTGCGTAAGTCTTGGAACATTCCGATTTGATTGGATGGAAGCGCAGAGTCAACTAAACTTTTTGGTAGCATTCCTCCAATATTCGTATCCATTATGTTAATTATCCGAGTCTTATTCGGCTCCCTGGAATTTGAAAATATAATTTAGATTAAATGATCAATTTCCTGCTCTGTTTCTTTACTGTATTTATACAAGTACAATACACATAATGTTAGTATCATAAAAAAATTCAGTTCATGTAAAATTGACATTTTTTTTATTTTTTTGTTTATTTATTCCATTTGTTAAATAAAAAGTAGTTTTGTGAAAAAACATGAGTGGCAAGTTTCGAACATACAATTACAAAAACTATGGCCACATTTTCAATTGATCTACCACAAACTCAAAGAATAACCCCTCCCCTGCCCCTCTTGTCCAAAACTCACTCAATGAACAAACTACTTACCCTGGAATAGGCTGACAGACGACGCCACAATATGAGTTAGTGCCCCGGACAAAGTTTGGATGCGGTGGGCAAACATCTGGATTTTGATGACTGTGTGCTGAAAAGTACAAAATGCAGAATGCTGCTGTCATTCATTCATTAAAATGATTATAAGGGAATGAGTAAAAGGGATACAGGCAAGGTGGAGGGGGGGGGTTGATCTTATCATTTCATGTTATGGCTATTTTATACAAAATTCAACAGTTCTGACTCATTTTAATGCTAATATGCTATTTATCTTTCACATCACCAAATAAGGCCTCACCATGGCCCATTGTGGCTACCATTTTGTTGACCATATTCGATTTCTATGTGTGTGAGAGACATTGAGTAAGAATGTTAAGACAATAACAAATAAACAAAGATGAGAGGGGAGCCATCATGCTCTCTCACCATAATAAGAACTAGATCTACAAATGCCAAGGGGTAGAGCAAGGGGGGGAAGGGTAGAGAAGTAAAGTTACTTACAATTTGTAGTGCATGCTCCATCATGCTCTCTCACCCTAATAAGAATTAGATATACAAAGGGGTAGAGCAAGGGGGGATTTATGGGGGGGGGGTGGCGGTAGAGAAGTAAAGTTACTTACAATTTGTAGTGTATGCTCCATCATGCTCTCTCACCCTCATTAGAAGTAGATATACAAAAGGCAAGGGGTAGAGCGAGGGGGGATTTATGGGGGGGGGGGGGGTAGGGAAGTAAAGTTACTTACAATTTGTAGTGTATGCTCCATCATGCTCTCTCACTTTAATCAGGACTAAATCTACAAAGTCACGGGGAGAGATCATTCCCATCATTGCACTACTTGTCTGAGAATTCACCACCAGAAGCTCCTGGAAATAAAAACACACACATCTTATTCACAACTGTAAATCCAGCAAAACCAGTCAAAATTGAACACCACAGAGACAAGGCAAAAGTGTTCATACTGAAAAGTGTTCACATTTCTAGGTTTTTAAATGGTAAACTATGCCAGCATAAAAAATAGGATTGAAAACAGTATTCACGATGTCAGGTGTTCAGATTAGAAAGGTGTTTGGATATACAGGTTTTATTCATAATTAATTAGGAGACTTGCAGGCCCTCTTGGTAAATGGGACTAAAAAGTGTTAATATTGAGAGCAGAAGAAGTGAGTAGCTCCCATAATTCTTTCATATTCTATCGTATTCAGGGATTCCCCATTACATAATCTCTTGCATCATCTCCAATCAAATTGCAGGATTTGATCACGTGAACAATTATGAGCACATGCTCTCTCAGTACTGCGAATGCGCAAAGTTAAATTTGAAATTGTGGGAATGACGTTTACATCAGTTCAACATCATCATTTCAAACCTACGGTAATACTATTGAAGTTACTCGATCCATACTTGTAGAGAATACTCATAAAACTACAGTGAACATTTGGAGATCCATTTCAACGGCAAATTGAGGCCTGTTTATAAAATTTGTTTTCGAACGTGCTAATATGATAGGTCATCTTTGGGAAATCTCCCCCCCTGTATTGAGAGCTGTTCAGATTAGAAAGGTGTTTCGATATACAGGTTTCACTGCATACCATGCACCTCCATCTAAAAGTCACATTACCCTCTTACTATTACAACTTAACAGTGGTGATAATATCTTAATGATCTTAAATGGATCTTTCATATTCTTCATAACTCCTGCAAATAGCACTTCCCTGGAGCACCAATAACTAGCCATATTACTAGGCTCTGACTATTCATAAGCTTTACAATTTTAAAGATCACAGATAAGGACGAGTTGTTTTCAGAGTAATAACAGCTACCCAACCATTTACTAAGAGTTATTTACGGTAATTTGTGTTTTATTGATAATTATATGACGAGGGAAATGCTGACGAAGCAAAATGATGAATCCCCTTATGACAAAAAAGTAAATTTGTTGTTTCAAGGAATAATTACATACAATGATGTTTTTCATTTCATTAATCATTTAAGACTTGTTCCTTTATTGATATAGTTTATCTTCTAAATTCACCATATTTCTGCTCCCAAATGAATATGCCAGAACAGAACTTTTAAAATTATTGTGAGAGATAACAGCCTTCTACTGTATCTGTTCCTTTTGATAGTTTCAAAACAGAAAAATATGATTAGAATGAGAATACAATTTAATCAGTCTGAAGAGAGGGAATGCCCCAGAATTCATAGATGAACATTTCTTCATATAAAGATGAACCTCTATATATAAAGCGATAGGTTTCATCTAAGGATTCTGGGTATTTCCTCCTGTTATCAATCTTGATGATTCCATGTTATCTTACTTCACTGATAATCTGCACTGGGTTGATTGCTGGGACTGCCTTATCCCATAGGGGGCGCCATGTCCCTGGGCGTGGATCGAGATATTTCCAAACTTTCTCTGGTGGAGCATCTATGTTACCAACAGAGCGATACCTGAAATGATATTCAAAATGGCCATCTAGAACACTACGCAACATGCCATAAACCTAATCAGATCTTGACTGGAGAGTGGAGAACATAGGCCCAGGAACATTAAAGAAGATGTAACATGTATTTTGGTATAATTAAAGGACAACTGAAATAGGTTTTCTTAACTTGCAGCTACAAAAATGCGGTTTCTTCATTGTAAGCCCGGATTAGAGTTCTTGCGATAGCCATTATAAAAGAATGTTAGGTAACCGTTAATGGTCATAAATAACGTTATAAAATTAACTGATCAATCAGATTGGCCCCCTCGTGATGATTAACGTCAAATATAATAAATAGTTTTGGTTTATTGGTTCCTTGGTAATTACGATGTCACAGCAACCATAGGATTGTTATGTAAACAAATAGACACGTAGGGGCCAATAACATCACAACCAAATCGAATACTGCTTATTAAGCAGCTATATCGATCGTTAGAGTGAAATAATTTTCACAAAACTGATGAGAAAACATGTCCAAATACATTTATCAAAAAATTCCTCTAGGTCAAAATACCATTTCATATCTGCTTTAATGCCAAATTAAAGTCTGTCCAGTCAGAGAATCTGATTTGGCATTAAATTTATATGTTCCTTGGTCTCCAACAGAGAAATCTTTTAAAAATAATCTCTTTTAAAAACATGTTAATGAAACCCTCAAGTTCACAATTATTATCAAAAATTCATTCAATAAATATCATAGGTGGAGTTATAAACTAGGCTTTAAACTGTATGCAAATGAGAGCCTTTAACCATGTGTTTGTAAAAAAGGTCTGATGACCCCGATAGGATATGTCTATGTACTGGTTGTTTTTACTCAATATCAAGTTTTAGAAAACACCCAATGATTGATAGAAACATATGTTGAATACATTTTGCGTTTTTTTGCTCACTGAAAATAACTGATTCATGCCTGATTCACAAACTCTGTGGTAACTTTAAGGATATTGCCATCACAACATCAATTGAGAAAATGATTTTCAATTGATTTGCGATACACATTTTGCGTGTCCTTTTAAGGTCATGGCGTCTACATTTTTCATTACCATATAATTATAAGGACTAAACCATCAAGATTTTTTCTTTTCTAATAAACAACTCTCATTTTCACAAATCTAGCCAAAATTGGTTGAACTTGAACTTAAAAATTGTTACAAAATACCCATAATTGGTGATTTGGTAAGAAAATAGATATTGGGAGGTGAGGGGGGGGGTGGGCAGAGACTCATTCAAGACTATTAAGATCCCAGTTTTACATCAGGCCCTAGTGTACCAGTCTACCCCCTTAACAGACAAGTTTTCTACATATGGTACCATATATAGGTATGGAAATACACATTTTGAGGGGGGGGGGGGGGCAGACACATTCGATTATTCAGATCCTTTGATTATTAGTTCCTTAATCACTTCCTCTTATGGTCATATAAAAGAGATAAAACTGTAGAATTGTTTAGCATTAACTTTGATGTCTGATTTATTGATGTCATTTAGTTGTGTATCTCATTCATTGATGTCATTATTGGGGAAAGTAATATTGCATAAAACTGGGAAATACCTGTACCTAAAAATCATGCGGTACTTTAAAATATATGAGGCTTTAATTTTGTCTAAAATTAACTTTGATGTCATTTATTTATTTACTGATGGCATAGGTGGCGAAAGTAACAGCACATAAAATTGAGAAATACTCAGTTTTCTTTCATATATAAAATATGCCCAGGATTAATTTTCTTTAAAATTAACTTTGATGTCTTTATTGATATCATTAGTGGAGAGAGTAACAGTGCATAAAATGGTATGGTAATGCCCATGCTTAAAATTTCATTTTGGTCATTCATATTCCTCTCAATTTCATTTCATTGTCTGAATGAAGTCACAATCTTTCAAATGCAATCTTTCTGACATTTATATAATTTCTGTTTCTTATTTTTCTCAATGATTCCACTCTTATTTCTCAATTCAAAACATGACTTTAAGTGGAATATTATATCATGGGTGGCAATATTGTTAGTGCAGTTTTTAATGATAGCACACCATTATAAATTGGCAATTTACCACAACTCAATGGTTACTAGAGTGTCGTCAGCTTTTTTATATGAAACCCGGCTATCATGCTGATCAAAGTTGCATCCCATCAGAGAGTGTAAGAGGTCCATAGACATTTCCAAAACAAAATCAACACAAAAAGCTCTAGCTCGATATGCTGAAGGAAATGAACCACTTCCTCTGGTATAAAATGAATCAATAGATAGAAATGATATTCAATTTTCATGATTTTGCAACATGGGCTAAATGGGAATCTACCCCAACCTAGAAATAACATTTTCAAAGCTGATAAACAATGTTTTAACCACATTACTAGTTGTAATATTACATGTTAATTTCAAATATGATATCATATTGACTAAATTTTGATCATTTAATGATGCATATTTTGTCTATTCACATCTAGTCTATTGAGATTAAAGCCCATGATTAACCAATGCATGAACGTTATAATGTAAGCTAAAATGTGCACATTCAAGGGGGGGGGAAGTATATTGGTCCTTTATCATGTTTAAAGTATTTATACATTTTCAAAATCGAAGTTGTCTTTGTTCTTCCACGAGAAGGGAGGGGGTCAGTGGCATGAATTACCTGGATTCCCTTTCAGGACAAGAGAACAATTCACAATACAGTATACATTTAAATCTGCCCTAGTAAACACCTACCTCAAGTGAACACCTGTGTCTAATGAACTCCCCTTCCCAGCACATACTCCAACGACTTCTGTATAAAATTGCCTCTGGAGTGAACACCTACTTATAGTGAACACATTTTTGTGGCTCAATAGGTGTTCACAATAAACACATTTGTGTGGCTGAGTGAGAGGTGTTTACTGAACATTGGTTTTACTGTACAAAAATTGTCATGTGACTTACATTGTGCCTCCGCTTTCTTCAGAAGGTCGCCAGTAGACAATCACATCTTTCTGTAAATACAATAACATTTCATTTCCTAAGAATGTTTGATATATTTATTGACAATAAAGATAAAATTTTAAAAAATCCAGGTCAAAGTTCATAAAATTTACTGAAGTTACGTAAACACATCTATTTCTGTCAAAACTACATCATTTCTATTTCCAAATATGGTGAATATGAGATTTGTTTCATTCATGCAGTTGCCTTTATTTTTAGCATTAAAATATCTTTTAATTACCATGGTGAGTGGATGGTATTTTTATCATGTGCCACGCCCACTTTCTTATAAATTCACTTCAGCAACACTATTTGGAAAGAGATGTGCATGGCTTATGAAGAAAATACATAACAATCCAAAGAAAGGAAGCACATGGCATCATGATAACAAGTTATGTGGTGGGTTTTAGACAAGGGTGCCTTTGATCTCATCATATTCTCACAAAATTAGGAAATTAGGGTGATGAGCAGGAAAATTTTGTCGGGAATTTCAGTCACAAAAACTAACGAGCGACAACTTACACTTCCCCCGAGTCTAGATATCAACTGAAGTCCTGATAAAAGTGGGCATGGTAACAAATGCTGCGATCTAATTGTTTAAAATGGCAATTTTGAAAAAGTATTCAGGAAGTCCGCAATTGAATATTTAACAGGTCTTTGAGCAACTTAGGTGTCTTCAAAAGGGAATGTTGGTCAGCTTGGGAAGAATAATAAAAACTGATTTAGGCTTGCAAATTAACACATACTGTAACATGTACTAGACTATAATAATAAAAGAATACAATTTTTTATCTACATTACTTTAGGCAAACATATCACTTGGAGAAAAGTACCAACTGGATGAAAAAAAAGCAAAAAAATCCTGAAGTTGAATAACCAAAAATTATAGGCCTAGAAAAACTAAAATTTTACTCACCCCCTTTTTACACACTTTCCATCCATTTTCATCTGCCCTGAGTCGCTCTAGAGTATTATAAATATGTTCCCCGCGTTCTTGTAAATCCATAGTGTTTTGAATGTTTTGAGATTTTGAGATATACTGCTTGAAAGAGGGGAAACGAGTATTGTGAATCAGCTCATGGGCCGACCGGATGTAAATAATAACAGCTGTTTTGTTCAAGGGTTCTTAATTCCAAAGACCCCTTGTACTCTAGTTAGCAGTGATGAACTTTGGCACACTGCATATACCATATCGCGTAAAGTGTCAATACGCGTCTTATGCATAAGCATCGGGATCAGCATTTTGAATATCAGACACACATGTACACTTTTCTCAAAGAAATCAATGCATGTATTCTAGGTTATGCATTGGGAGGTTTCAGATACAGGGTTTATCCTTCCGAGGGGCAATATGATGTGTATCTCCCCGTTAGAAATAAAACGGCAAGTTTCCCGTACCTGTTGTAGGCCTATATATGTATTAGGGTTATGTACTGGGAGGTTTTGGATATCCAGAGGGACATATGCATATCTACCTGAGGGACCATAGGAACCGAAGGTTGATGTGCATATCTCACGAGGGATGGACCCAATATCCAAACCGACCGTACATAACTGCTTTATCCTATACCATGGCGTAGAATAATGGAAATAGCGTCATGAATCCCGGGACAATGAATCTCGGATCCAAGTACGTCATTAATGGTCGAAAATCAAAATATTGACAAATTTATAACCTAAAAGGCCGAAAGATTATGCGGCAAATATTGAAACGGGGGTTGTCAACATATTGTATTAGCTTTGATCTCTTATAATCCGTTGAATCCTAAGCGATTGGAGTTGTTTAGATCACTTAACGAATGATATGAAATGATGAGGATTTGGGTTTTTTCAAAGTTTATAATGGCGGCCAATTGGGGATTTTAGCAAAATATCCCGAAAATTAAATCAATAAAAGGCCGAAAGATCTGTGGACGGATTTTGCTGTTTTATATATCAAAATGAACACTTCGCTGGGTCTAACAAGGATCCGTTGAATCCTAAGAAAATAAATGATTTGCTCAAAAGTTATTAAGATTTTAAATTTTGATGAAGACTGCTCTCCATTGAAATCTTTGGACCATGAAATGTCGATTTACGCGCATGCGTTGTGACGTTATTTCCATTATTCTACGCCATGCCAAGTAGAGTTTTCAGGGGCATATGGCCATTTCAATAGTACAAGTTGTAAAAATAAACAAATTATTCTATGCAAAGTCATTTTATTGCATTACCGGAAACGGGAAGATATGCACCGGAAGCGGGAAGATATGCACCCAAGCGGGAGATATGGCGGGAGATCTGGAGGTTCTGGATATGTAAAAACTCATAATCAGGATATGGGATATATCTTACCAACTTATCTCTCTAAAACTCTACTTGGCATAGGATAAAGGAGATTATTTACTGCGAGGGATTGAATAAGGGGTTTATTCCTAGGGAGAATATGATATTTCACTTAGGCTCGTTGTTATCTCATGATATTCGATGGCTCTCTTCAGGAAATCATAACTCAAAATCAATATTCAATATCAAAACCAGACTATATTTCCAGTCAAAAATATGACTTGACATGACATTTTGAAATATGAAAACATTATTGAGATCTGATTATTAGTCCCGAGCCCGACAAATGTTTTTCACAGAGCGGGATATAATAAATCACAGTTACACTGTCACGTAATTTTATAGGGCTCGCGGGATAGTCGCAATTGCAAACACCTTTATCCCGTATGAGCACTTTGTAGCACTGAGCCTCGGGACAGTCAGTTTCTCAAACTCACTGTCCCGTAATTTTTTTTTTGCAAACGACGGGATATAATGAATTGAGACCTGACATATCCCGGCGCTGGGTAAAAAAATTTGCTGCGGGATAAAGTGATTTCAGAACTTGACTAATGCTGATCAAAGTATATGCTATCAAGCCATCACACATCTCTATGTAATTACCATACTATATTACCCTTGCAAATTATTTGTACATACATTATATATACATTTGTATATACATTATTGCACAACATTTAAACACATCAACATAAAAATCAACAATACCACAGGCGTATTTCTAAAAACTGATTTTTTGGACGATCGTTGAAAGCTGGCTACGCCCATGAATACGGTGCACGTAGTTCATTTAAGGGACCAAACACATTGGTTTGTTGCTCACATTTCTGTGTCAGAGCAGTAATATCATTTTTCGCGAGAGGAATAGACTAGATACGAGAATTAATGTTGATTTACATCATTAAATATTCAAAATTCAGTCAAAGTGATGTCATATTTAAAATCTACATGTACAGAAAGTGCATCTTGAAATATGGCTTCGAAAATTGTTTATCATCTTTGAAATTTTTTTTTTTTGAAAATGTGACTTCTAGTTCGGGTTGATTCCTCATAGACCCCGTTTTACAAAATCACAAAAAGTGAAATATCTTTTCTTGTATTGGACAGATAACATTTTCTTTTACTGGACATATTTTAATTTACATAAATATTAGATACATAAGGGTTATATGAATATTGAACCACTAAAACAGCTGTAAGTTAAGTTAAAAGGGAACTTTCTACTATACGCGCCATGTTATCTGACCCGAACGAACCACCTTGTGGTGAAACTGGTAACTACCTACTCGCCTCTGCGTTATTGACAGGTGAATAAGATTTTCGTGAGAGGTCGTGAGAGCATGGGCGTTGAAAGCCCATGGTGAGATGGATAAGGAGGGACAATATGATATTTCTCACAATCAAAAATATTCCTCTGAGTTATTCACCTGGAAATATTAATATCATGGTAAAATACATTTTACGCAACATGGTATTTCCTGTGTGTAATAAATTAAATGATTGATTACTATTCCATACACTAAAATGGGCACACTGAACTGAGGGGGATAAGGAGGGACAATATGATATTTCTAACAATCAAAAATATTCCCCTGTGTTATTCACCTGGAAATATTAATATCATGGTATAATACATTTTACGCAACATGGTATTTCCTGTGTGTTATAAATTAAATGATTGATTACCATACTGAAACGAATTTGCGTGTTCTGGTCGGTCGGCTACTCGGGCCTCGCATGTTTGCGGCCAAACAGCAGAGCCAATAGTTACTAGCTTCCACTCCTTGTCTCCACATCTGGAGAGATCAAAGCAGAAGTATAGTTCTATCTCTCAATATCGGAAATTGTGGTAGTGTCTCTCACAATATCAAAAATATGGTAGCGTGTCTCTTAACTTCAAAACTTATGGTAGTGTGTCTCTTAACCTATAGTAGTGTGTGCCGGCGTCTTTGATTGTAGCGTTAAAGTTCGTGGGGTGAAAGTATATCACCAAGGAAGAATTTATATTAAAAAGGTCTCGTAATAAACTCAAAATAATTACTTTTAGAACTTAGTACCGTGACTTCAAATGTAGTTTGCAAAACATTACATTCTTTCTATCGACAAACATAAACCCCGGTTATTGCAGTTACAGTCACTCCATCTGGGGTAAATATTTGTATACAAGCTAGGTATGAATAATTCTAATAATTCCGTTCTTATTTATAATGATGTACAGACACAGTAGTTCATTAAACTTCAATTAATCTATTACAATGATGGATAATTACAAAACATGCAATACACAGTCAGTTAATATATAGAATTTCTGTTGGCTTAATAAACAGAGAAATACATTCTAAGATGCACTTTTAAGGAGAACAAATATCACTGTAATCTCAATATAAATTAGATGGACCACTAACTTTACAAATACTTTCAATCCAAACTAATTATCATAAATTCATGAAATAATCTCTGATTTTGTAATGTTCACAATCCTACTTTTCAAGCTCCAAGTGATTGATTATTTGATTATTAACTCCAGTACTTGATTACGACATGTGAGTTTAGAATTGGAACGCTAATTACTTTATAATAGTATCTGAACTCTTCGACAATGTTACATAAATTAAAGTTCCGAAATATACTGGAATTTAAAGATCAACAAATCAAAAACTGAATACCAATATGATTACAAGTTGGCTAAATCAAATTAAATTACAATCTTCAGCTTTATCTCCCCTCCTTAATACAACTATTATTAAAATCCAATTCATTAAAGTTTTTACAATAAAATAGTAGTCATTTGAAATAACAACACCAGTCTTCATTGAAATGCTACAAGATATGAGCTAAAATGTTCTCTTACAAATAACCATAAAAACATTCTTGTTTTACATCAATCAAACAAATCGTTCTCTAACAAAATCAACAATTGCATAATTTTAAGTTTCGAATTTCAAATCAAACAATGAAATTAATCTATATTGTTTCAGTATAATTGATAATTGTGGGCTGGCTTAACCCGATTGTTAACCCTTGAAAAATCTTGCTGCTGGTCAAATAAAATCATGCAAAAACATGTTTATGTTTACAAAAATGTATAATATTCATTTAAATATAAACAGACTAGTCTCATTTCAAATATCTAATTTTACTCTAACCTAGTAACATAAGACCTTCAAGCGAAATAGGATATAAAAGAGAAAATATTTCAAGAGAAAGATTGTTGCAATTTGAGCATCAGGTAAATTTGTAATACATCTCCATCCACCCTCATTAGTAGGACAAATGCTGTGTCCATATGTAAACAAAAACATACTACCCATGGTGAATCATTAATTTGGTTTACAATTATAACATTCTCTAAATATGTTCATCTCCATCTGCCCTCATTAGTAGATCAAATGCTGTGTTCATGTGTAAACAAAAACATATTACCCATGGTGAATCATTAATTTGGTTTACAATTATAACATTGTCTAAATCATTTGTATGAGCAATTCTGTCTAATACCTCTGAGTCAATGTTATTCAGAAGGAGAAAGCATATAATTCAAATAATGGCGGAAACATTAAAAATGGTTTCAGAAATAAAGATAAGTTAATTCCAATACTTTTAAATTATCAATTGACATTAATTTACACTAGAGAATGACGAGATAAGCAATAACACAGATCGGTAATAATAAACTTACAAATCATAAATTGCATACTGCAAATTATAAGCATAAATTAGATTGAGTCTACTTCAACATTCAAAACACTGATTTGGCACTATAGTCATTCTAAATTGCCAAATAAATAAAAAGAAGATAAT